TGAGGAGCTATAGCGTGCGAAGAGTAGGATTGCGGAAAAATAATAGCGAATATTGTGATAGCGAATTGGTGTGAACTTTTGGTGATAGTGAAGAATCAGCGTTGAACAGCGTAGCAGAGAGTCGTGTGTGCGAAACAGGATAGAAGAGGAAAAAATTATGAGCGTCGTACGTAAAGCGCCTTCAGAATTTTTAGTATCAAAATTGAAGGAGAAGTTGGCAGCTTTGGAACTTGCCACGACTGGTGTTAAAAGCGAGTTGATAGCTCGCCTTATGGAAGCTGATCCATCGGAAAATTGGGTGATAGGAGACAATATTGCGGGGAAGGATGTCGAAGAAACGCGGAACGTAACCGTAGCTGCGGCAAGTGAAAGTATGGATGAGGTTGCGCTTTTAAGACGAGAGATGGAAATTTTTCAAAAAGAGAAGGAGATAGCGGAACGAGAAGTGGAATTAGTGCGAAAGGAAMTAGAGGTCCTRCGAAGGACGCAAAGTTCTGCTATGAGTCAATTGTACGGATTGGAAGAGGCAAACCGGTCACCTGTGCAAACGGAGATAAGTAACTTATCGTTAAAAGCTGTCATTGAATTGATTGGATATTTTGAGGGAGAGGCAGATGAGTTTACAATATGGGAAGATCATGTAAACTACCTGCRYGACATGTATCATTTGACCGAAGACCAGGCAAAAGTGATGATCGTACAGCGTTTGAAGGGGCGARCGTTGGAGTGGTTTAGATCGCGGAGAGAATACCTGCATCTCACAGTGGATGAACTTTTAGTTGAGTTGCGAAAAATGTTCCATCAGCAAATCAGCAAGATGATCTTGCGAACGAGGTTCCAGGAACGTGTTTGGAAGCGTGACGAGTCTTTTAGCGATTATTTCCATGAGAAGATTATATTAGCGAACCGGATAGAGATTGACGAGGAAGAAATGATTGAATTTATCATCGCGGGAATACCAGATCAATTGCTACGAGATCAGGCAAGGGTGCATGGTCATAAAAGGAAGGAATCTCTTTTGAGAGCGTTTGAGCGTATATCGTTGAAAGGACGCTCGCAGCAGGCGAAGATGGGTAACTTGATGATACATCGAAGTAACATAGACGCTAGCGTTAGAGGAAGGATAAATAACATATCAGATAACCGTTTGAGGTGCAAAAATTGCGGTATRATGGGTCATTTTAGCGAAAAATGCCCATATAAGAGTAGAGGCACGAAATGCTTCGAATGTAGAGAATTTGGTCATATCGCGGTTAATTGCCCTAAAAATCGTATCGCTAACAAAAATTCATGTAATATTTCACGATCGGTGCGAGGAAAGTATTATAAGGAAGTAATAATAAATGGTCAGAAAATTAACGCGCTAATTGATACTGGAAGTGATATATCTCTAATGCGAGCCGCACAATACATACAAATAGGATCACCTAGATTGAAAACGAATGAGATCAGATTTCGTGGAATAGGTTCAGAGGATAATAAAACGTTAGGGGAATTTTTTGCGGGTATTGAGATTGATGGTAATCAATATACCATTGAAATTTCCGTGGTATCTGATATATTGATGCAGCATGCTGTTTTGATAGGAACTGATTTTTTGAACACAGTGGATATTAATATTAGAGAGGGAAAAATTGCAATTAGCAAACCGTCGGGAAGCGGAGAGAACAGCGAGGAAGTAGTTGAAATCTTAAAGATAGACTGTGTATACGATACAAATGAGTTAGATCTGTCGCATATTCCATCAAATGAGCATAAAAAATTGGTGGTAGACTATATTAATAATTATAATCCGGTGAAAGCGCGCGATGTTGGTGTTAAAATGAGTCTGATACTAAAAGACGAAGAGCCAGTTTATCAGCGGCCAAGACGTTTACCTCCGTCGGAAAGGCAGGGGGTAGAGAATCACATTAGTGATTGGTTATCTAGTGGTATTATTCAACCATCGTTATCTGAGTACGCGAATCCAGTTGTACTAGTAAAGAAAAAGGATGGTAGTACAAGGCTCTGCGTGGATTACCGAAAGATTAATAAGAAAATAGTGAAGGACCGTTATCCGCTTCCGTTGATTGGTGATCAATTGGACGCGCTTCAGAATGCAAAAATTGTTAGTACATTGGATTTGAAAAACGGGTTTTTCCATGTACTATTGGAACCGGAAAGCAGAAAATATAACAAACGACGTAAGGAAGCAAAACGATATAATGAAAATGACTTGGTGGCAATCAAGCGAACGCAATTGGTACCAGGTTTGAAGTTGGCATCGAAATATTTGGGTCCGTATCAGATAATAAAAGCCTTACGTAATGATCGATATGTGGTATCTGGGTACAGATACCGCTGCAGAATGGCCGAGTGTAGGAGATATGGTGAGCGTTGCCGTCTTGTTAGCGTGGAGTGATAGGATTTTGTTAGATTAAGTAACCGGGGACAACGGACGAAGGACAGTTAGTTAGTATTGAGCGTTGTAAGAGAGAGGATCTGCATTTGTATTAATCATAAGAAGTTGTAATTAAACTGTTTTCCCATCAAAAANATGTATTTTAGGAAATTTTATATTTCAGATTTGTTGTCTCGTAAAAATTTATTTGTGTATCAAATGGAATACATATTTGAAAAAAAAAAATTTTATATTTGCGCATAAAATTAATTCAAGATATACAGGAAAGGATATTCTAAAAACGTGGAATTTATTTTTTGTCTAGACATAATTTTAATTCATTTTTATTATGTTATAAGAAAACAGAAATGCATTTTTATTCAGCTTCAAAGTCATAAAAATTGTAAGTAAAAGATAGAATATTATTCAAGCGGCAAGCTAGCGTAAGTAGTATCGTCTCTGCTTCTCACGCGGGTAGTTACCGTTCGATTCTTCATGGGGGAATTATTTTTTTTTTTAAGTTTTTCTACCCTTAAGTTATACAAATTCTTTTTACACATTTCTTAATTTTTAATTATACTTGACTTACGCGGTTTTTCAACTTACGCGGAAATCGTTGGAATGAATGAACTATCTAAGTAAGAGACTTACTGTATAATAATATTGTATATTATGTGGGATAAAAATGTAGTGGGTAGTACAAAGTAATTATTATCATAAATAAAGAACAATTATGTAGGAGATATGGTGAGCGTTGCCGTCTTGTTAGCGTGGAGTGATAGGATTTTGTTAGATTAAGTAACCGGGGACAACGGACGAAATAAAGGACAGTTAGTTAGTATTGAGCGTTGTAAGAGAGAGGATCTGCATTTGTATTAATCATAAGAAGTTGTAATTAAACTGTTTTCCCATCAAAAATCCTACAATTATGTTATAAAATTAGTATAAATATTTTCTTTGTATCTAACTTTTTATCAATTTGAACATATTTTTTCATAAAACCTTTTTTTTCCCGCCAAGTATATTGGAATTTACAATTTGGCCAATCGAGGCAAAACTTTGGGAACTCATGCTCTATACCAGGGGTTGCCAACACATCAATTGCAATCGACCGGTTGATAACGAAACAATTTTGGGCCGATCATAGGCGACAGGAGACGATTTCTGACGTATTTAATATTTAAAAAAACCTATTAAATTATAAAAAATATAACTCTGCAAACTAATTTAATTTTACAAGTCACAAAACTTGAGGAAGATTTTTGGAAATATATCAGTCGAGAAAGATATCTCAATATCACCAAATGTAGTGAATATATTTACTCTTGTTTTGAATCTATTATAGATACTTAATGTGAACTGACTTTTTCATATTTAAATTTCACGAAGATTAAACAACGTTTCCCTACTTACTGATTTCTGTATTGAAAATTCATTATCATTATCTTTGTCTGGATTTACATCAAATTATGAATGCTTGGTTAGAGATATGCAGGTGCAGACTTTCCTCACATACACACACACAATAAAGATAAGATAAAAAAATAAAATTTAATCTTTATTATTTCTGTGACTACTTTTCAATTAGTATTGGTTTAATAACTCCGTTCCCCATTGTTAATTATTAGTGCACAAGAATCATGTTTGATAAATGACAAGATTTTAATAAATAGATCACGACACATTTTTAGGATAAAAAGTCGATCACATATAGAATAAAGTTGGCCATCCTTGCTCTATACCATTATAAATGAAGACATAGAGTTTTGTCTAAACAATACAAAGGTCTTTTTGAAATATCAAGGGTACGTTCGCCTATACAAGATTTAAGTCTATCTGAAGATGGCGTCTTAAAATAAACTTTAATCGTAAGTTCTCTTTAAAAAACCTTCTTTAAATAACGAATTATTCGAAAGATTATTGCGAGTAAAACTTCATATGGGACACTTTATATACACGATATTCTTGGAATGATGTATCAAGCTTTCAAGGATAATGAAGAAGGAGTGAAACAACAATTTAAAATAAAGAATTATTGTTCGAAACTTTCTTAATTAAAAGTTATCGGTCAAAATCATAAGAAAGTGTTTAAATCTTTTATGTCTGTAAATAAAATGAGTTATAAAATAAAACATTATCTAACTACTTCTGCATTCTATCGTAACAGGTTAACCTTTTGAGTATCAAAGTTGTCAGGAATTTCCATGTGAGCGGTTATGGAAATACAGTCAATCAAATTGAAATTTGTCGTTTTTGTCGTTTGTCTTCCTATCTATCGCTTGTTTCAGAAACCAGGGCCGTATGTAAATACAGTCGACCATGCGAGAATGTGTTATTATTTGAGGTTATAGTGAATAATAGGTAAAAAATTAGGTTAAGTAGGTTATAAATTTTATTATTATTTCTTAAGGTTATAATCAATTATAAGTAAAAAGGAAGGTAGAAATTATTTGAAGAAAAAAAAGAAGAGAACAAAATATTAGGTTTATTTTTTTGTTGCTTGATTTTTGGTACATCATGTTTTGCTACGCATTGGAACACCCATATTTTGTTATGATTGAAGTGAGAAATTTCGTTTTATTCAAAGGGTTAAGACAAATACAATTACAAAAGATTCTCAAAATGACATTTCCTAAAGTAAATGTAGGAAGAAAAGCATCGTAAGAGGCTCTATCACATCCGCTCTTACATGCCTGAAGCCATTTAAGTGAAATAAAAAACAATAAGGACTCTTGTTAGAAAGTATTCTCTATTACCTACAAATGTCTTGTAAACAGTACTTTACATGACTCCATAGAGAATAATCAATAGTTTGTTCCAATAACTTTTGATCAAAGTATTTCCGCAACATTGTACTTTATTAAAATGCGATGTTTGTTTTTTCTCCATCATCCCTGAAAGTTTGATACACTATCACAGAAACATTCTGTATACAGAAAGAGTTAAAAGAAATCGAACAACTAAATGAATATGTTCATTCTTCATAGCCATTCCAATTCTGATGTAACCAGACTTCGTATATTTAAATTCAATAGAGATATTCGGACATCTCGTCTTTTTTTGACTTACTCTGCATAGAACTAAAACATAGCAGATAGTCTAATAACTATTATCACATCAAACGTCTCCATTATTTCTGGTTTTATAGAAAAAATACTTAAAATGAAGTATTCAAAGATTAAATTTGAGGACAGATTTAATTTTTTCTCTAACAATAAGTGATCTTTTTATCAGAATTTGTTTATCGTTATTTTTTTAATATTTTTATGTACATTTTTTCATGCATGAATTGAATCCTCATGCCATTCTCAATGAAAAGATATTAAGATACAAGGTCGAAAAATGATTAATTCGCAAAGAAACATCTACTGAAGCACGCAACTATAATAAACCATGTCTATTTTTTATTAAACTTATGTTAGAAAAAATATCAAAGGAAAAATGAATAGCTCAAAGTAGATAACACATTCAAGACTATATTTTTGCTGCAAAGAAATTATTTTCTTATAACGTATTAAATACACTTACATTAATTGCACTTGCAATAGTAAAAATAATACGTTCCACATTAATTATAAGTGTCAAATCAGTGTTTAGTAACTAACAATAAACTTTCTGTTTAGTCCACATCAATTATTGATAAATGACAATGAATTTTTTATTTAATCCATGTAGCAATTTTAGTTACATTACTGATAATATTTAATCCAAATCAGATTATCTTTGCAAAATGAAAAAATCTGTATTGAAAGGGTGCACATAAACGCGTATTTAATTTTTAATATTCCCAAAACTGGATAATAATATTTCAAATACTATTTTAAATAGTAAATTCTTTACAATTGAAATACAATAATATTTCAAATAATAAATGAAATTTCAATAAATAAAATATTTTATTTTGATAATCTAAAACATAAAATAAAATAAAATAAAATAGTTCATCTTTGAATATTAAAATAAGTATTATATTTTTAATAGTTCTTAGCCTGAAGATAAATTGCGAAAACGATTAATGTAATTTAAAACGAGATGACCTAATAATTTACTTAATATTTGTAAATGAAATATATTTTTTTAAATAAAACTATTCACATCTAATAAAGAAAATCTGCCAACATTTTCATTACTTAAAATACAGCGCAAAATAAACTATATCTAAAGTAAATTGGACAAGGTTTTCATGGTTTTCAGATGCATGGATACTTATTACATTGAATGCCATACAATTTTGATATGTTTTGTCATAGAGGCCACGATTGTTAAGATTAAATATAAAACAATATAATAAAATAAAAAATATAAAAAAAAAGTCTCTATCTCTCAACAATTCTCTTAGATTTGTTTAGAATTTTTAAAATTTTAATAATAACATAAACCATAAAGTAAAAACTTGTTTCTCCAATATCTTACAAAAAATAAAATGCTTCACTAAATACTCCAAACTTTAGCAGAAATATTTTATATATATTTTAGATAAAACACTATTTGAAATACTATTGTAAACAATTTTTAAAACAAATAAAATATTTTATTTCTTAAAATACATGCATAATTTAAAAATAAAATATTTATTTACTATTTATGATTTAATGCAGTATTATACCTAACTCTGACAATGAGTATTGAATGGCCTAAGTGGAAAGATGAATAAAAAGCACTTAGCACTTAATGTTTTTAACAATATACTTATAACCTTGAAATATCGTAAAATAATAGCATTGAGAAAAAATGTTTTCCATCGTCTGATGTATTTCTTGAGATACTGAGTTTTGTTTTAAGTTTACTAAACATTTTTCCATGTATCCAAAAATAACCAAGATATTTAAAAGGTGATAATAATTATTCAACCACCTGGTATACTTACAAATATTAAATAACTTCACATGATATTCTCTTTAATAGTACTAAATTTTATTAGAAAGAAATGAAAAAATTCATTCTATTTCTCAGTATAATTTTAAAACTTTTTAAATACTAATGACTGTATATTATCATAGTTTCTTGTTGATAATTTTATAAAGTATTTAACTTTCTAACTTTATTGTAACATTACTTTGTTTATGCTTTATACAAAAATTTCATATCAAAAAGTTACTTATTTATTAGAAAATAATATCTATTTAATTAACTGTAAGAAGAATTAACAAAATAACATTAGACTTATAACTGTATGCTATATCGTATTTAGAACCACGTTCTTTAGAATAAATCTCTATGCACGTTATACTATGTACACATAATTAGAATTCAGCAAACTTACGTTTCAAGATCGTATGAAAACAGCCACGTTGTTCAGTATTTCTGAAGATAGTGATATATAAAGTAGACAAAATATAGTCTCTTGACTACTATTATCTGTGATATCTTCTTTTGACAGTAAAAATATATTGTCTGAAAAGAAATAGCAATAAAATAAGATCCTATTCAACATAAATCCTTAGATTACAATGAATATAATACTAAATAAAACCACATTATTCAATTAATAGTTAAAAATTTCTTATAAAACATAACAATAGAATTTTAACAGATTCGTATCACTCACTAAACTTGCTTAACTGCTAACATTAATTGTTATATTTTAATTTAAAAATTACAGTTTAGACAAATTCTTATAAATGAATAAATACTTGGTATTTTGATATCAAATGTTGACATACCTATACAATGTCAAGTTAAGATTAAACAAAATTTAATATCTGTATTTTATTATATTTTGTAAATATTTTTACTATTAAAAGTTATGAAAAAAACTTCTCTTAAATTTACATTAATGTAGAGAAAACTTTAATTATTATTTATTGTTTAATACTAATCATTAACTACACCACGATTCCAATACTTTACTTGGATTATTCAAATTAACAGATTACATTACTTATAAAAATACAGAACACGAATCCATATATAGAAACAAATAAAACATCATATAATAAAAAAAATCCATACTTGTGCAAGATCTGCAACAATGTATAATCACATTGAGATGATAAATTTATTAAAAGAACAATAAGTTTAATGTTTTACAAATTTGTATAAATTGTACCCAAATCAAAGAAAGAGGTTAGTTCGCATAATAAAAGTCATCTCAATTATCATGATGCTTGAAATGTTTTCTCAAAATCGTTCAAAAGCTTTGATCACCGAATTTAAGTATATTAAAGATTAAACAAAATTTTCTAACATATTATACTATATATATAATAAATATACTTTGTTTTAGTAAGTAAACGTACATGTACAACTATTTTGTTTTTATAATTATTGTTTTATGATAAAATGTCTGAAATCTAAAATAAACTTACAAGTGGACGTAAAAGACAAGCTACATTAGACGAAAAAACGAATTAATCGCGCGTTTCTGTCATCATTTTTTATTAGATTTTAAATACTGTGAAAGATCAAAGTACACAATTGCAGTGGTTCCCAAACTTTTGCTATTCTCGGCGTCTTTGTTAAGCTAAGATTTCATCAAGGCACTCTATATCAAATTCTCATAAGTTCATCTTGCAAACAAGTTTAGTGTTTTTATTAAAAAATTAGCTAAAAATAAATAAAACACGTTTTTTTTGTAGAGATTTCTGCAAACAGTTAATACTAATGTGAGTTAATGGTTTACACAGAATCCGCTAGATTTTGCATCTTACTACTTCAAATAGAAAATAAAAATATTAAATTATGAAAATTTTGTAATATTTCGGAGCATCTTATGAAAAAATGACAGCTCCCAAGGGCACCGCAGCGTACTTTGGGAATCACTGCACAATCAGAAGATACGATCAACGAACCAATAAAGCAATTCTTGCAAAACCGAATGCAATGCTTATTACATATAATACTATTGCATATATATATATAATACTTGCAGTCCCGGCCACGCGTTGCTGTGGCTAATTCATATTATAGTAAACTATTCAATACAGTGAAATGATTAGATTATTAACGAATAAAGACGAAAACGTTATAGCCGGTATAAAAATTTACGGATTAAGATTTGAACTTAAAGCCAAATTTGAAAACATTTAAGCACAAATTAATATAAAATGTAGAAGTTTAGATTATAAGACAAATATCTCTAAGTTTTATAATTAGTAAAACGTAAATAATTGCTCTGTAAAAGAGTTTTAACATTTTATTTAACAACAAATCATATTTAGATGTAGAATTTTAGATTAGATTAATCTTACATTTATGTTTGTAATAAATGAGTAAGTTACAAAGTTTTTAGTTGTTAACATTTTACATTTAATTTTATAAACGAAGTAGGTAGCGAAAAGCTGCCTGGCTAGGGATTTTGTTAATTGTAATTTAATTCAGCACATATCGGTGCACAATATCTTTGGTTAACCTGTCTCTAGCTAACACAAATAGATTCGATGGTTTTCCCACACGTGAGCAGGCAACATATAGTTGCCCATGGGAAAAACATGGAATTTCCAAATCTAAACCGCAAATGGGCATTGTCTGGCCTTGAGACTTATTTATAGGCATAGCGAAAGTTAAACGAAAGGGGAACTGTAGCCTTTTGCAGGTTATCGTCGATTCTGACGGTATTATTGGAATACGTGGCAACAGGACCACTTTTTCTTTAATCTTTACAGTCAAAATTGTTGCTTCAAGAATATTTCCGGTGGTCTTTTTAATGATCAAACGTGTACCTTTGCATAATCGAGGAGGATTGAAATTACGCAGAAGAATAATAGATGAACCGAAGATTATGTGGTGGCATTCCGGGTATATCTAGAGAGTTTAAAAATTTAATTGGACACAAATAACACTTTCATTTTCATTAATAACAGTATCGATTGATTTAAGAAACATCAGATCGCCTGGCAACAACTGTTGTATCTGGAAATTGATTTTGTCAACATCAGCATTTTTGGCTGCCAAAATAGTCCGATTACTAAGCCATTTATGATCCTAGTAAATATTTTGTATGTCCGGGAAGATACTCTCAATTAATTCATTTTTCGTGTGAACAACAGTGCAGAAATTTTCTGGCAGTTTAATGCATTGCGTAATTAGTTGCAGTTCTATTCTACCGTTTCCAATATCTATCAATTGTTCGGAAAATATTTGTGCTGATGGATCATTTTGCAATTGTATACGCATGTTTATGGTCAATCGAAGTGTTTCAACACTTCGCCATAATAATGATTGTTTTAAACATGCGTTAATCTCATCAGCGTTCTTGAGATTCTTGTGCACGACTCTTTGCTGTCCTGATTCTTTGAGCTACTATTCTTGCTGTGCTTTTTTCACCCGACTGATTTGCTCTTTCAACACGTTTGCGTCGTGCCTCTCGGCTCCGCGCATTGTGAAAGTTAGATTTTTTTGGTGGCATTTTACTTAAAATAATAATTAAAAATTTTGAAATAAAATTAAATTAATAAAATAAAAAGCAAGCAAATAATACTTACACGTATTTAATTTAATTAAAGTGTTTTATAAATGAGAAAATAAAGCACCAAAAATTGAAAAAGCAATAATTTCACTGTATTGAATACTTTACTACAATATAATCTAACCTAACTTCTCTTAGCCGAAGCCATCTATTGGATACTTACTCAATCTAAATAAACTTACACCGCCATCTGTTAGAATCTTATGGAACTAACAAGTCTAATCAACAAATAATTTGCAATAAAAAAATATTGCGACTATAAATTGAGATAAAAACTATCTTAATACATAAGTTTGATCAAATTGCACACAGTGTGCCAAATTTGATTAGAATAAGTTCAGTAGTTTAGGAGTACATTATGGACAAACGTTGTAACACGAGATTTATATATATTAGATTTAAATAAAAATATTCTAAAAAAACGTTCTAAAAAAATTGTACAACAATATTAAATAATTTTATATATTTATTTAAAATGGGGGCAAAAACAAAGAAAATAACCAAAAAAAAGACATACATAAATAAAATATTTATAAAAGATCTTACCCAACTAAATAACGCAGTAGCTATGCACATTAGACAAAGAATATATCGTGAACTCGATAATTTGCACGCGAATGAATTCAAAGTTCTAAACACAACATTTTGACTATCACGTGGGTTTTCAAGAAAATCTCCGTCAGGGTTGCATATACATATTTCTAATTAAATATTGCCACAGTAATTTAAAAGTGTTAGAAAGTGCCGTGATTGCATATTCTATTATATTCTGTTTCTAATAATTTAATAACATTTCAAAATTTGTTTTAAATAATCGTATAAATATAAATATGTAATAAAATTCCTATAATTACTATAAAACTATCTTACTTCTTAACATGTAAAATTAAATCAATGTCATATAATTTTTATAAACTATTATAGCATAATAAGTTTATGCACTTATCTTTTAAAATGAGATTAACAGTTAGATTCAAGAAATTCTATTTTTATATTTCATGAACATACATTTATATTTTTACATCATTTTCTATCATTATGCTATGAAAAAAATTATCATCAATTCCATTTTCTCCTTTTCGAAATATATAAAATTGTAATATTAAACAAAAATGTACATTTTAATTTTTTAAAAGTAATATTAAATGATATATAATTTTGCGAATAAAACATTTTTTTAATAAAATTACCTAAAATATATCTTTTCTTTTCTGTGGTAGCTTGTTTTTCATCCTGAATCATTTTTCAAAACTATATTTGAGCAATTTATTTTAAAAGTAGTATATATTCAAATTTGGAAAAAATAATTTTTAATTTTATATTCAGACTATTTAACAATGAAAGTGGTAAATTAATGATTGATTAAATATAACTATTTTATGAATTATTTTGTTTCGAAATCTTATAATAACAACGTCAAAATTTTCGAGTACCGTTAATATTTATAGTTGTAATGTGATCTGATATTTTCACTTAAAAAAATAAATAAAGGTAAAAGAAGAAACCACTCTCAAAATAAATGTCCTATTTAGAGTCTACAATTTTAATGATATTTTATGACACAGACACCGTTAATCAACGGTTTGAGTTTTCACATAAAGTATACTTTTTACAGTATTTTTTAAAGCATGTTTTTCAACAAAAATTAAAGCTTTTCCCAAAAGTTGATTTGAGCATTTCAATATATGAATGTATATTTTTTAAATAGGTAAATTTAAAAGAAAATGAATAGAAAGAATACAACGCATGAAACTTAGTAATTCATTTGGAAGATAACAAATTATGAAATTCAAATGAATTTTTAGTGTAAAATCTAAACGTTATTCAACTATTGCGAGACGAAATTTATTCCTATATCAGCACGCTGTGGCATTTATAGAACGAAAAAAAATAAGTGATTTAAAATATTTATAGTTTATAAATCATTTTTTGTTTCTCCTGAATTTCCTCTTATTTTCTAATTAAATCATGTTGTACACTTTATCTTATCAATCAATATCTCTTACTGCAAAAGAAACCTTGCATTCCTTAAAGCTAATCCCTGGTAAAGACTCTACGACCGAAACGAAACCTACATATTCTATATAACGACACAAAACGTACCTTTTTACTTTTTAGAAATTATAAGAAGTTATTTATTAGATAAATTTTATTTTCTCTACTTTTCTCTTAATTTTGTTTTCTTTTTATTGACGCAGAAAAAATCTGATATAAACAGAAATTTACACTATTTAAAATATTAATCATTACGTGAAGTATTATTTGTTACTTATTGAACGAGAAACGTATTATTTTATTAGTTACATCTTCGGTGTTGAACTATTGTTGATATTGTTATAGAATATTTTAGGATTATCTCCAACTTGAATAAGTATAACTAGATAGGTAGTAATCGAACCAATCGCCTAAGACATGCATAGCAATGCATAAATAAAATTTTTATAAAGTACAAAATAAAATTAGTTTGAATATTCGTATTTTGAACTTACGCTGTATATAAATGTATGATCCAGATTGTAAAATCCACAAGCATTAAACGTCAAACGGTTTTGGATTAGTTGAAACTTAAAATCACGAATCTAAAAGAAACAATTATTATAAATTGAATATACGGTCATCTTTCTAATAATGCAATACATTCATAACGTGACAGCTTTTTATAACACGATAATCTTAGACTCATGTCAGTTTTCATATAACACGATAAAAATTAATTTACTTACTCTCATTTTGATTTATTTACAACGCTGTTTCCTTGTGACACAATAAAAATTAATCGTGTTATAGAAGAGTCGACAATAAATATTATAATATTAAAAATAAACACAAATTGTTTCTTACTTTATCGCGAAATTTCTTGTTAGTTGAAGGTTCGTATAATTCACAAAGAATGTCTCCAGTGTTCATGGCATATAGAAAAACAAGAAAAATCAATATTACTTCTAATTATATTACACAAAACTTCGCGAAATTACACATTTGGTAAATATTTGATGTATAGTTAAATAAAATACTATACAAAAAGTTAAAAAGAACATACTTCCATTGTCGTTGCATGGCATATATTGTTTATTGCCAAAATCTTGAAGGTAAAATAGAATATCCAATATAAATGCGCATAAATTTCTTTTACCCAATCGTCATAATATTTTGCGATCAAAATAGCATATAAATTATATGCTAATAAAGTAATAAACACGACAGATGAAGACATAGACATAAATATTTGTAATCCATAAGCTTCGTTTATATTTTGGGCACATTTGATTAATTCCAAATGGATTTGTCTTTTATGAAAAGAATAAAAAGAAATAATTAAAAATAATTAATTTTTTCGGACTAATTACCAGTGACTTACTTAATTCTCTTCAATTTTATAAAGTTTTCATACGTTTTGTACGATCGATAAATAGCAGATAATAAAGAATCATCTTCCCAGTTATCTTTCATTCGAAGCACTTTTTTATGTTGTGGAGAATCGATAGTTGCTGTCAGCATACTATGAAGTATTCCATTCAATTGATTAAATTTCATCTTTATATACCTACTTAAAAACACTCATTATATTTAAGTAAATATTGATTTCTCTTGTGAAAAATAAAATTATTCACTTGCCTAATCCAAAAGATAAAAGTGAAGTCGATGATTATTGTTACAATGAGAGGATAATTGTCTAAATACCAGAACTGTAATACTAAATTGTAGTTACATTTTGTCTTAGAAAACCAAAAATTATCGACGACGACTAAACCTGATACTATAAAAATGAAAATTATGCCTGCGATGAACTGATGCAGAAAAAGAGAATAATGATTTCTCAATACGTTTAATTCATAAATCTCTCGTGTACAAGTTTCCAAATGTTTTATAAATAATTTTATCCTCTAAAAAACGGATTTCACCATTTAATTAAACTATTTACGAATATTTTCTATTAATATAATATATCACTCAATAATACACACAACCACTCTAATAGCAGCATAATAAAAATATATAATTAATCTAATAAATTTTTTACCTTTCTTCTCGCTAAACCAGCGAAAATTACAATTACATAGATAAGGGCATTATAAGCAAACAAAAATTTGGTCGTTTTTGCTGCCACTTCCGTTGCTTGAATGGCTACAAAAGTATCAATTACACCCTGAAGCGCAAAAAATAAAATACCGTAGTAAGCCAAAGAGCAAACGATATAAATAAAACCAATTGTTTGAATCAGTCGATCTCCAAAATATTCTAATAAACCAGTGCAAACAATCGAATTTGCGATGATCAATGGCATAACGGAACGTTGAAGCTCTCTTAATTGAAACATTTGAGAGGTTTTATTGACGTTATTTTTATAAGTACAACTTTTAATTTTAAAATAAATGTTTTAGTTTCTTTTTCTTATTTGCAAGTTACTCTCTGCTGAAAGTTACGAAGGAAACTAATTTTTATTACAAACCTTTCTCTTCTTACTACCTTTGAATATATTTTCATGGTAAATAATTAAATAACTTGCATTGTTAGATTAAAGTATAAACTACTATAGTTCTATCCTACCTCTTTCATCATATTAATGATGTTTTTCTTCGTCTTCGTCTTTTCAATGAAAAACATTCATTCACACATTACTTCCTTATCAAATGAAGATCAATAAGGCATTATTTATTAAAAAGAACATTATATCAATGTTAATATAAGTAAATAGATTTTTTATTTATTTAACCCTTAGCGGCCACACGGCCATAACTAATTACCCCACGCAGAAAAAACTATTTGGGGACAAGATGTGTAGATGTTTTAAGACTTTTAATTGATTGTGTCATGTTCGTTGAAGAGTTCTTCAACATTTCTTATGATTTAAGTTGGTTAATTCATAGATGGCGTTCTAAAAACTCGTCACATAGGTCAAAAGTCTGGAAAAATGGCTTTTTCGAAAAAAAATTCATTACTCCGCCATTTTGCAATATTAACTGCTAGAGTTTTGGGATGGTCCGCATAATATATACCACTACCATAAAAAAATAACAGTATCCGTCGATTATTCAAAAAGTATATTTATTTTGCAAAATTATTGGAGGTAAAAATGAAAAAAATTACAAATCATGAAATTGGCTTTTTTTTGCGTTTTATTAGCTTTTAAAGACATATTTATGACTATAAAAGTGAAAAAATATTATCTTTATGATAAATAAACAAGAAATAATAAATTTGAGTGATATTTATTGTACAGCACAGTCCGTACATAAAGGGAACCGATGTTCATCGCAAATCGGTCTGTAACAAACCGAACATCCGATACGCGGATGTACAATTCATATTTCACATAAACAGACTAGATTTCACAACAACTAGGATTAACAAAAATTCTTTTTTGCTAACATATCAAAAACTTACCTTTATTTCGTCGATTGACACCATAATAAGTCGATTCGAAAAAAAAAATATTTGTACTGAACAACGCGTTGCGGTCATACTGAGATAACTAGTTACCCCAGGCCGAGAAAACGAACGCTCGAAGCACCGTCATGCATTTTTTTGGCTTATTATGTGACGAAGTCTCATTTCACACTTGTCTGTCACCAGAAGATGTCATTTGTTTTATTAATTTGAGAAGTTTAAGACCTCTAATTCCACTTTTTCTAAGCCTGTTACCGCGGTAGCCATTAATGGTTAAAGCAGTAAGCAAGAAGTGAGGGAGATTAAATAATTTACGTATCTTCCTTGATCCAGGAAACACTGAACACTGCTTCTAAAAAAATGGAATAGAAATAGTAGTCGCGTGGTTAGATCTAGTCAATTATCGAGAGTTAGTCGAAAGTTATTTTACATTTATTCAATACTAAGTAACGAGCGTGGACTGACGAGGATTTTCTTCAGAATTCGTATGGCACTCAACGTGATAACGATTTATGTACCACTTATAAACTGGTATGTGCGTACATAAGTACACACATACCACTTTTTTTTATTTTATAACACATATATTATATAATCCAGTGGCGCGGCAACGCGTTTGGTAGCGTTACTCCAGCGGAGCAGACTGCCGTAACGATAGGGTTAAACTTCGTTGACCTTCGTTGTTGACCTTCAAATACCTTAATGTTGCATATCGTTGGATTGGCCACAACAGCCGCTATCAGAAAATAAGTAATAAAATATAACATTTCGTTTAAAAAAACAAACTTGACCTTTTAATCTCAGAAGTGACTACACCTAGCAAAAGAAACTGACGCCATGTGATACTATCGAATTTTTAATGCAATTTTGATTCTATAAATTTTGCTGCTATCATACTTTAGGAGTTATTTTGGTGGCAAGAATTAGTGAATCACCCTGATATTAAATATAATATATAGATAGATATTTTCCAAATTTCAAAAACATCAAATGGCTTGAATGAAAAGTCAAGCAAAAATGAACAAAGAACGTGTTAAGTGATTTTTGAAGTTATACTTCTTTTTACACGTTTGGGAAAAAATGATGAGAGTAAATTTTTACGATGCGTGCGCACCCCGACCAAAACAAACGTTCGAAAGCGATCAACGTCTTCCGGTATTTACGATGCACGGGCGAAGCGATTTCAAATTTACTGCATGAAGTAGTTCGATATATCTCTCTTACATTTAGTGTGTACGGATATCTATATTCTGATATTTTTTTAATACTAAATAACGAGCGTGGCCTGACGAGGATTTCCCTAAGAATTTGCGTGGCGCTCAATGTGTTAAACATCATTAAATGTGTACTACACATTAAATGTTGCAACATATGCATAGTGTATTATAGTATCGTTTATAATAACATGAATCTCGTAAATAATAGTAATAGTAAAAAAAAAAAGTTAATACATTATTATATTATATTATATTATATTATATTATATTATATATATTAATATTATTAGTATATTATTTTTATTATTAATATTATTGTTATTCTTAATACGGAATCACAGGGAACTTGGACATAAAAAGAAGTAGAACTTAATTTAACTAAGTTGGACGTTTCGTCCCTTTATTGGGACTTCTTCTTCTGAAAATAAGAATAAAGTATTAAGAATTATAATTTTGGACGAGAGAAATAACTAATTAAATTATTGTTATTATTATATAGTTTCTCTCCCACCTTCTTTCGTTGTATTCTATAATTTCTTTTCTAATTTTATTTTTTTATTTCCATTTTTTCAACGCTGTAGCGCGCTTCAAAATTAAGCACGAAAAAGAAAGTCAATAATTACCTCTAACTTCGTTCTGAAATTATGATTTCGTAATAATGTTAAATCATATTAACATCCTTTTAGTAACGTCTCTTGTATACGTGTAAAGCTCTTGGAATGTATTCTTCTTGTTGTACATTGTACATTATACACTCACATCCATTTATTCAAAAATTAAGAGAAAAAAATCTAATAGTACCGTACAATGATAGTAATAATAGAACAGCACATTTAACGCGGAACTTAGAAAACTCAATTCTCTCTTTCTCTTTTTCTAATTTAACCAACCCTATTCTCTGACATCGATCATATTTGTTTATGCAATTTTTCCCAATTTGAGCAACGCGTTACGTTTTACCATATTGAACGATCTATATATATAACTTCTACCTATCTATGGTTTTACGAACCATAAATCCTTCTTTCGAAGGTATCTACAAAGGATACCAAAACATACACATGCACACACACAAGATCCGAATTATTTATTTTATTCCAAAGAGGGCAATTTTTTTGTATATAGGAATTTATATATTCGCTATAATTCACTTTTTTTAAATTTCGATGAATCTCTCAAGATATTTTTCAATTACTATTTCAACACTTTGTCAATATAATTTTGTTTTTTAATTTTTTTTCGACTACTTACAAGCTTTCTTCATATTTCTTTCTCGTTCATTTCCTTTCTTCTCTTTCTTTCTAGCATTTTTTCTTTTTGTTAACTTCTAACTACTGTGTTTCTTTTCTATGGGTCCATTTAATTTGTTTACTATGCTACATTGGCGAACAACCTTCAGACGACTCTATAATAATTCTCAAATAATTCCGTTTCATTCTCTCTCTTTCTCTTTCTCTCTTTCTTCCATGGACATTTGTACAACGTGAAGGCATTGTTGGCTTATCATTGCGCTTTATCATCGATGCAAAAACTCGATTCTAAATTCTCAAAAAGGATGTCATTGACCTTTGGTAAACAAAGTAAATATACATGTAATTATGTATATTAGTATTGGAAAAACAATGGAATGTATCGAGAATTTTTTTGTTTTTTTAATGATTTAACCGACAACGCCAAAATTGCCGCTCAACGATTTTTATATTTTAATCACATTACAGAGAATATATATATATATATACGTAAACTTCTAATATATAACTATTTCATTGTTTAATGCAGGGCTTCTTAAACTTTTGTCATTCACGACCTCATTTATGATTGCGAGTTTCTTGACGACCCCATACAAATATTACTGCTGTCGGTGGAGATAGCTCAAGACCTTCAACAAATGCACGTGTCTAGACGCTGCAAGTCCACTGTATTTCGCCAACTCTAGTGATGTTATAAAATGGTATATATAAATATTTGACATTAAAATCTCTCGCGACCCCAGAATTTTGCTACGCGACCCATAGTTTAAGAAGCCCTGGTTTAATGCATTCTATTCATTGCCAATGATTATTTCGAGCAAATTTGATTTTTTTTAATCCTGTCGGTCACTTATGCAAAGCCTCATACGAATAACAAAACTCCATATAAGAATCGGATGATACTCGCGTCAAAGCGTACCCTAACGAAAGGGTTAAATTAATAAAAAATTTTTTTATTGGTTGATTGTTGTATCAATGAAACGATGTTTGTGTTTTTTTTCTTTTTCTTCTTTTTGTTTATTCTTACTTTGTGCCAATATATATATTTATCTTATATATCATAAACACATTTTTATTTTGTGTTATCTTATCATCTTGTTTTTTGTTGCATAAATAGTACAAGCAAAAACAATCGTTGGTATATACGCATAGTATTAATAAATATGTTTTTCACGTGTGTACCAGTATGGCGACGGCAACGATGACGGCGACGGCGACGGCGACGACGATGGCGACAAAACGATCGATTCGGAAGATTCATCTCGGTGTTTGAATATTCGTTAATCGTTAAACTAAATTTTATCTACGATCGCTATAATGTGCGGAATAATACATATAATATTGTCCTGTTACATTTAATTACCAGTAGGTTTAGACATTGCCCTCTCTGTTATCTTATTTATTTAATATATTAGAATTACTCATTCCAACTTTCGTCGTATTTTAATTGTTACGAGGGAAACGTTTAATGATACTTTCTTGTCCTCTAATTATTTTTATCTTTTATCTCAAAAAAAAATTTGTTAAAATATATTTATTCATAGAATCGTTGCAATTTGTGTTCCTAAAATGAAATTTCAATATTCGTCCATTTGTCTATTTCTATTAATTTCACCATGCAATTGTTGTTTCTTTCGTCTTCGCGATTTTGTTCTTGTTTCTTTTTTTTAATAGATTAGAAATGGAGGTTTTGTTTTACATATTCTCAATTTACATTCTTCAGTCTTTAAAAACATGACTGTTTAAAGTTAGTTAAAGGATCAGCAGTAGTAGTACAGTAGTAGTTGTATACTATTATCATCTAACGATCGACCTGCGATCTTCTTTTTTTACATTCATTGATCTTAGTAATACAACTACATATTCGTCGACTAATTAATAACATATTGAATACGATAATCGAACTCGTGTTTCGATAGGACTACGCGATGAAAAACGTTACGCGATAATCGATAATCAATCAAATATAGTATGCTTTTCATGTATTACAATATTTTACTGTACGCTTTACAGAAATTTCTTGATTTATTTATTTATTTATTTATTTATTTATCTATCTACCGATTGAAGAAATTTCGAAGATATTCTTGTTCTCAAAATCATTCTCGACGAACATTCGATACACATAATCGCTACGAGAGATATGTTTGATGCTAAAACATTGAAAGAAAATTAATTTCAAATGAGATCTTTCAATGGGGTTTTACTTGTTCACTTTTTCTTTGTTTCATAGACGTCTGTGAAGTATCGACACATGTACAACTGAAAAATATTTAATTAAAAAGTTACATTATTTATAAGGATAAGAGTCATTTAACAGACGTCACACGATTGTACTTAAAATTAAACTTGACAAAGATAAACTTCTTGACACTTCTCATTCATTCTTTTCTAGATATATTCATTTATTAATTGGAATCTTTTTTATATGGTTAGGAAAAACTTAATGAATTTCATTTCAATCTTTATAGGGTATACTTGATAAAAATTGTAATAAAGTTAACAATTCCTATCAATATGAGATAAAAAAGACTAGATTGATGAGATAAATTTAAATAATATTAGATTATCTCAAATACTAGCATTATTAAATGTTAATACATATGGGAACATTTTTCTTTAATTTTCAATTAAATTTATCTTGTTAATCTCTAAATGATAAAAGTTAACTTTGTTCTAATGATAATTATTGTACTAACCCTTTCTTTTCTAACGACCCATATAGACGTCGTAAAGATATTATAATATGAACGAATTTATATGGAATGATATTCGCGCGGGTTCAAGAAATATCAAAACAGGGCGGGAAAGATACATGATTATTGTGCTAAACCTACTGGAGATATTTTCTGGAATTTTACTATATATGTTAAATATTTAATGTTAATTAATTAATTTCGCCGAATATAGAACATAGGTTATTTCAGTACGTGCCCTGAAATTCTTACTACATGAATGACATTTACATAAACGTTAAACGAAGTATTTCGAACAATGATAGTTGCATTGATGTACAAGGAGGTAAAAAGAACATAAAGAAGGAAAAATATGATATATCAAAATAATATTAGACTCATATTGATCATGAATTATTAATTATGTAATTAATTTATATACGACATTTAATAACGTTTTCTCTCTCTTTTTCTCTTTCTTTCTTTCTTTCTTTCTTTCTTTCTTTCTCTCTCTCTCTCTCTCTCTCTCTTTCGCTTGCATTTCTTTCTGTACAAATCATCATAAATCATACGAAATATACAATTCAACTTATTTCTGTTATTTTATTTCTTTCTTTTCTTTTCTTTTTATACTAAATAGTACTAAATTGCCTATTTAAATGATATTCGAATAGATCTTAAAATACAAAAAGTGATCGATAAAATGCTAAAAAAAAGTAAAACGTACCTAGATGTTTCATAAATTACGATAAAACTATCTCGTATTTTAATATACATAAAAACGCGAGTAGTTTACAAAAGAGAGATAAATTATGTATATATGTATGTATACATAGTGTATATATAATTGAATTAATATTTAGAAAGAGACCAAAAAGAAATATACGTATAAGCATTAACGAACAGGAAGATCGTATTCGACAGTCACGAAAAATTTGTAGCTAATAATACAAGACAAAGTTCTTTGACAAAATATTTTGTTTTTTACGTAAACATTGACAATAATAATAAACAGTAATAACAAAAAATAATTTATGAAATTTAATCGAACTAATTTTATTAATGAAGTTCGCTATCATCCACATAAATACTGAATTTAAATTTATAAAGCATAAGAAAAATAATACAAAATATAACTTAAAAATTGAGAAAATTAATCTCTCCTGATAATTGCGACCTTCTTCCCTTTCTTCTTTTTTTGATTCTTTTCAATCTTTTTCTTTCTTGCTTTTTTTTAAATGAAAATTTCGAATAAATTCAGTAATAAGCCAAGCCAGAACCTGCCATGTATCTATCAGCATTTTATTATCATAATAATAACAATAATAATAATCATATTATCTGTTGACAAATAATTTTGGTCTTCCTCCAAAGTTGCAATAATCATTGCACTATGTTTGAGAAATTTCTTGCATAAAGATAGACTAGTACTTTAATGTGTACGCTGCTTCAATCTTCGTCTCTCAAAAAACACTATTACTTTTCCTACTACTCTCTATCACTGTACACGGCAACTTCTTTATACATAATATATAGAACATTTACTCGGCATATGCAATTTGATGTCTCAATTTTGACGAATATATATTTGAGTAATAATTTAAATTAATTTTTTTGAAGAATTAATGATATTAATAAAATCATGAAAAATACTTTGATGTATTTCCAATCAACACATACACTTAATATTAATTTAAATATTTATCTACAGTCAACTGCGTACGCGGAGCAAATTTTCAATTAGACCTTTTGCAACAGTATTTTTATCTACTATATATATATATATATATATAATAGTATATAATACTAAATCATCGCTAATTCAGGGTACATTAATAATTTTTGTTTACGAGCATCGTATGTATAACCTTATTTTTTCTTTCATTCTTTATATCTTCTTAAATATCTAGAAAATTAAATTAAGATTAATCATGTATATATAATAATGAACTATCTAACTAAGATGTTCGGAATAGTACAATAAAGAGAACATTTATGAAATATCCCTATGTACAGGGTCTTTCTCCTAACTCTACTACCTAAAATATCTCGTTTATTTTATACGATAGAAAAAAATATTTTATTCGAAGGCGGCCGATATAGTGATGGGCCGAATTTTTGTGTCAAGGTCATTTTTTCGAAATATCAAGATCATCGTATTTTTTTTTAAATGGGATTGCATATTTATACAAGAATATTCTTATAGCTTATACAAAAACGAATCCAGCAATGAGCAATATGTTGACCTTCAAGTGACCTTTACCGAGAAGATTATGAAATGTTTTCTCTTGTACATGAGAAGATTGTTTGCTTTTATAAGCGTCTTATAGTTCCTGACAAATATTTTTTTGTTTTTGTTTTTTTATAAACTATAAGAATATTGTAGTAAAAATATGCAGTCACATTAAAAAAAAATACGATGACCTTAATATCTCGAAAAAAATGACCTTGAAAGAAAATTCAGTCTATCAATATATCGGCGCCTTCGAATAAAATAATTTTTTCCTCTGACATTTTTTTCTATCGTACGGAATAAGTGAGATATTTTAGGTAGTCGAGTTAAGCGAAAGATCCTGTATATTCGTTTCTTCGTTCTCATCATTAATTGTCTCGAAAACTCCATAGAATTATGGTTTTCCTACACATATATATACATATTATAGTTTTTTTTTAATTATTACTCTTTTTTTTCCTACCCATGCACATACGTATATATGCATATTTGCGTCACCCGATATCTCAAAATAACGTAATTATTATCGTTATTTCTGAGAATTAATTATAATATTATTTAGTTCATATTAATCGTTATTATTATATTATTTAATACTTTAACATAGGATAATTGTGAACTTCTCCACTTGGACCAAAACCAATGATTTCTAAAACAAAAACACAATTTAAAAAAGGGATAATATATATATATATATATAATATATGATAAATACAAATATGCTAGATTGATGCCCAATGTAAACTACTATTAGAATATCTCTTTTGTAACGAGAATTTTACATGCTTTTTTTCTAATCCTCTTTTTATGATTTATCGTAAAATAGATACCAATATACACGCAAACAGCCAATTGTATATACCTAATCTAATCATCCTAAACGTTTAGAATCACACTGAACTCCACCCTTATTTCCTTAACTATAATTCACACCTTTCTATCCGAGTCTTTTAATTTAACGCGATAATAATAAATTATTATAAAGCTTTTTCGAAATACACATTCGCAGAGCTATTGTTATCCTTCTTCTTTTGACAATTGCATAAATATGTAAAAACTGCAAAACCAAGTGTAGTAGTAGCAGCAACAGCAGCACATATACGTATACTCGTTTGTGCGATTCTAAACGGTAATTTCTTATATAATAACAATGATTCTCAATTATTATCATCATCATCTCGAGAGAAAAGCACATCTTGATTTACAATTTGAAATGACATTTAATAAACAACATAATATTTCAAAAGGCAAATTGTAACATACGAGTAGCAGATCCCAAGATCGAATGATCGCACGAGAATAATAATGATAGAAGTATTGACCATATTCACAGTGAGAGAAACGAACAGCGTCTGCTTTTGAACGAAGTTCGAAGGTCGATATCAACAACGGTTAGAACATTTCGAACCTAGATCGATATCAATCAAAAGGGCATATTTTCTAAGCATATTACACAGTATTTACAAAATCGGTGCTTCCTTTCTATCATTCCATTTGAAATCCTGAAACAGAAATTTTGTGTTTTTCTAAGAAACATTTCAAACCGATATAATACATATTTAATAAAATTATGAACGAAGAATAGTAAACGTTAAAATTATAATTTTAATTAACATAAGTATATGGCATATGTGTACGTGAATATGTATATGTGCGCATATACATATATTAATCACAGTTTTCACTACTATTCTGCTAAGTAGCGTAAAATTATTCATATCTATTTAATTTAATGAACTTTTACGTGAACTAATTGGATTCATTCATACGGTTATCATGATTATATTAATCACAGACATGAAAAGCATAAAACTTATTACTATAGGGCAGATCTTACTGAAAATGAATAACATAAAATATTGTTAATACGATGAACGTCTCTCTCTTTGATCGTAATTTTTAAATTCTTTTTTCTTTTAAACTAATTTTTGATAAAAATAAAGATCGATTGCGGTGTCTATGGACTGTGGTAAATGTTTTAAACAAATACCTAGTCTCTTCATAGAGCACCAAAAGGATCTAGTTGAACAGCATTGCCTTGTGGCTGAGCAGCAGGTTGTGGATGCTGCTGCTGTTGCTGTTGAAGATTAGCACCCATCATAGGATTTGCATTAGGCATCATCATTGGTGCAGCTCCACCCGCAACCATCATACCACCACCTCCAGCAGTAGGCCCTGGCATTGCACCCATCATCGGCCTCATACCTTGCATACCTTGCATGCCCATTGGCATACCTTGCATACCCTATAGACACCAGAAATGCGTCAAGTGAGAAGATAATAAGAATGTGCATCCTATCCGAAAAACTAAGTATTAAGGAAATGAAATTCATATTTTTGTCAGCATTCCGAGCGGCTGTACACATCAAAAAAGAAAACTATTTATAAACACAATTAATTTCATTTAGATATTGTATTTTTTAAAATTTTTCTAAGTGTTATTTACATCTAATATAGAATACGGATTGGATAATTTTGTGATTGTTTTCTATTAGATTCCAAAATCAAGGCATTTGTAGTGCTAAGCCAAACAAAAATGAATATTGTAATTGAAATGCGGTCTAATATCAGTTCTAGTAACATTCATACAGCTTGATATAACATTCTCTTTGTGTATTGTAGTATTATTAGGAATGAGTTAGTGACAAAGTTGAAATAGCACATAAACAGTAGTTGTAAAGTGAGGATGAATAAGTAATATACAATAAGGAAATGCAACATCAAATTCTTTAATGCAGTGGTATTTAAGATATAATATTGAACGAAGTTCATCGACATTAATGTTTATAATCCTTGAATAAGTTAGACAATTCACATCACTGTTTTAAAAGAATTAGTGAGCTCAGGCAAGGTTCTAATCCGTAATAGGATTTTTAAAAAAACGTAACTTACCATTGGTGTTGTCTGTGGGGAAAAGGCCAACGTGGTTGCAGGAGGAAGTTGCGTCATTCCTTGACCCTGGAACAGCCGGTAACATGCCATATGCCATGCATGCATCACAACTAAATTTGCCAAACGGTAGAAGAACTCTGTACAAATTTATTTATAAATACCTAAGAACTATAATATCTTAGGTATATATCAAGAGAAATTTTCTAAAAAAAAAAAAAATTTAACTCGAAAAAGCACTGATCGTGCTCCTTAAAGTCATATTTGTCTTTTAAATTCATTTAATAAATTCATAGAAGTATTTTAATTTGTATCATAAAATATATATAAAATAGAAATTCGAATACCGTACTTTTCATGTGACATGACTAGTGCTACCTTGACTATATGTTGTGTGCATGATAATTAGCCAAAACAAAAAATAGAAATGCATTTGGTGTACATACAACCCAATAATCCAGAAGCTTTAACACTAATGTGAAAGCTAAATCAAGACAATGTGTGATGTACTTATTTACATACATGACATACGTGCTGATAATAATTTAAGGAACGATTATCGATTTAATTAGGCTCACCATAGGACGATATCCAGCCCCTGTGGTTGCTGCCATCGGTTGTGGTGTCCATCCAGCGGGACCTCCAGTTTTAGCCGTATTTTTAGGAGAATTCCATTGCATTCCCCTAAAAGGAATTTGTTTAATTAAAAACGGCATTATTTTCCGATAAATTTGTATGAAAAAAAAAAGCAATGACTTACTTAACTTGTGGCTGAGTACTTTTATTAATCGTCAAATTCTGTGCTAAACTGGCAAGGCTACTATCTAGGTCTCCAGTTAGGACTTTTCCACTGGCTGCTGTTGCATTTGTCGGCTGTCCACCTGCTGAAATATCATTTCCAAGACCACAATGCTACATATTCTCATCGACAAAATTTTAATCCTTATAAATCTAAGCAATACCTACAATATATATATATATAGCCGAAACTCATAAAAGCATAACCAAAATATGAATTTGATATATGCAAATATATAAATTTATATGAATTAAATATTTAAAAAATTTTCTTATATTATAAACTAGGAATATAACTATATGTAAAATATTAATATTAATATAATAATAATAATAATCATCATAATAATAGCATAAATAATTAACATATTAAATAAATTTATATAGAACAAAATTTTTCTAATTTGTTTTATACTTGTTATGTAACACAATTTGTGCAGTATCACTCAAAGCTTGACTATCATTTTTAGTTTACTGTTACTTTAAATCATTATTTTATACATCAATCTAATTTAGCTAATGATCGTGCAAGATTTGAGTGTACATTAATTCTACCACTATATTTCAAATAAAAAAATCTATAAATTTAAACTGATTCATTAAACTATTTAGCGTTATAATAAATTACGTTTATAAAAAGTGTATGTCTGCATTTAACTAAATATTTATTAACTATGTTGGGGAGTTCTTTCGTGTACCTACTGATAAAAATATTCTTTTAAGTGTACGTACTTCAAATCTTAAATAGAACCAACCTAATTTAATTTCTAGTCTTGTAACACTGAAAATATTGTATTTCTATTATTTACTAAAAATTCGAGATTATCCTGAATGCTTATCCTTTCTTTTCTTTTATCTTTACCCATAATAAAAAATGTCCTTACCATGGAATGAACAGAGTTTGTTGTTAAAGTAAGTCATAAAAGCAGTCATGCAATGGAGAAAATAAAGAAAAAAGCAGTTCCAAGGATTAACGTTTGTTAATGTTATTAGCACTTGAGACTGTTAATATGAAACCCCTGAAAATGAAAGCCATACTTAAAGCAAATCCAAAGTCATTCGATATTCTAATTCGTCTAATCTTCATTTCTAAAGAATTATTTTCAAAAATAGGGATTTGGGATTTGCTTCAGAAGCATGCAGTTAGCGTGGTTGCGATAGATTCCCGTCACCTGACATTGGCTGCTTAGCCGGAGAACCAAAGCCGACAGGAGGTACTTGAGAAGACGACGGAGGAACTCCGTAAGAAACCATTTGGCCACCAGCCATCATGATGTGGCTAGTGGCCGCCCCGACATTACTTCCCATGTCGAACATGGCGAAGCCCTGTTGAACGGGTTGTTGCGATGGCGGTTGTTGTTGTTGTTGTTGTTGCTGTTGTTGTTGTTGTTGTTGTTGCGTGGGAGGAGCGTGCTGAGCAAGGGGTGCCGGTCGCGACGGAGAGCCACCCAGTGCCATACGAATACTGTCATTTAGATCATCGAATGCACTCTTGCTCGGGGCTGCACTACCGGCAATCGAAGCAGGCCCCGAGGCTGGCCTACCAGGTGATGCTCCGCTAATAGCTGGAGACAATGCACGTGGTGTACCATTGGAAGCTGCTGTCGCGGGAGGCGGTGGTCTGGGAGGCGGCGTGGCAGTGGACTTGCCAGAGGTAAGAGCAGTCGAGGGCGCAACGGCCGACGGTGCCTGTGCACCGCCAGACGCGACGTCCCCAGAGCTCCCATCTGCGGCCTTGAGCATTGCAGAGTCGCCTCCAAAGAGATCTGCCTGACCGCCGGCACTGAAGAGGTCTCCGCCGCTTTGTGATGCCGCCGCTGCTGCTGCTGTTGTTGCTGCTGCTGCTACTTGAGCTTCGGCAACGTTACCGCCGGCAGTAACGCTGCTGCTGCTTTGATCGAACAGCCCTAGAGCAGCGGCTGCATTGCTAGCTTGGGAAGCGGCGGTTGGGAAGTCGGACATGAAAGGATTAGGTACGGATCCGGTGGTAGTTCCTGGGGCACCAGCTTGCGCAGAAAGTTATTAATGTGCGTGGATTAGCCTGACGTTCTATGAGATCATAGTTTTGGTATCATCCTTGCGATTTATTATCGCGCCCTGCTTCCTCTCACGAGAAAGAAAGTGATGCGCCAGTATTAAAGCCATATGTCTTTCATCTAGTAATTAAGATTAATTATGATTGCGATGATTAATTGATGATGTTCGTAATGATACATTGTGTAAAGTGTTGCGTAACAGATTCCAATAATTAATGTTTATTGATGTTTGTTAGTATAGCGATTAAAGACGATTCTTAGATACTTGCGCATCGCTGTTTCAGCTCTTGTTAGTATATAACAAATCTTCTAGTATTGTTTAGATCCTTGTTAGATAATCAATAACATAACATTTTTTTATACATATAAGTATATCTATATAATAACTACACAACTACTCCTTGAACGTTTGAAACAAATGCACCAAACAATCTACCAAAATACACAACATTCGCTAGTTTAAGAAGAATTCAGCCTCAATCGAATCCTTTAGATTGCAAATATCTAATTTAGATTAATTAAGTCTTGGAAAAGATTTATTTTAAAAAATACATCTCTTAAAGATTTTGAATTTGCATAATGACTGCATAAATAAACAGATAAGAGTTCAGTGTTTATGCGAAGATATTCTATAGGTCTGACAATGAGATAATATTATGCGACAAATTTAGAACATCCAGCAGATAAAGTAGTATTCTTTCTAGCATCATAGTGTTTTTATATACTATTTATAAGTATATCTCTATAATAATGTGCATAAATTGTATAAATCCCAGAGATAACAAATTGAGTTTTTTTTAAATAATATGTAGTGTATATATGCGTGTTTGTGTTACAATTGATTGTACAAACCAGGCAAAAAGTATTCTGTCCCAAAAAGAACGATATATTTATAATGAAAAGAAAAAAGTAGAGGAAAATGTAAAATATATATATAAAATTTAATGATTTAAAAATAGACTTTCTCAAACGAACGTATTATAAATATATATATATATAAATCTAATATAAAGGAAAATAAAATACTTACTTGACTGTTGATCCTGATTTCCGAATACGGAGGAAAAGCTATTATCTGTAACAAAGTTATTATTTGCTGGTGTCGCTGCAAAACCTAGAAAAAATCAAAAGCAAAAGAAAAACTATAAAGATAATAAGAAAATAGAAGAAGAAAAAAACTAAAAGATACGAGAAAACAAAACGAAACAAACAAACAAACAAAAATATATATATATATATATATATTTATACATATGCCAAAAAATTAAGCGAATGTTGCATTTACCATTACCGTTGGTCATCCACATATTATTTTGTACTTGTGCAGGCTGTGCTTGTTGGGCTTGTTGGGATGCACCAAACATATCTGCGAAAGGATTTCCTGCCAGTTGTAGCAAATCGTCAGACGCTTTTTGAGGCTAAAATATCATCCAAATAAAATATAACATTAATATATTTCTTAGATATCTGAATTGTTTTAATATGATTTATGATGAGTATTTATAATAAAATATATTTAAAAAATTAGAGTTAAATTAATATTTGATATAGAATAAATCAACGAACAAATTTGTCAGGGGTTCACACTATAAAAAACTATATGGGCTCACACATCTTGCCATGCTGCAGTAATTAATAACCATAAACGTATGCAATGTTAGCTTAAGAAATAAAAATAATATATCCTGTAAAAAAGCAGACGAGGACACGAATAATTATTACAAATTATTAAAAAAAAATCTAGGATTTAAAAAAACTGTCACTGTTATTCCTAGTCGCATCTGCCGTCGTGACTATTCTCTTAGCATGTAAATCAATATCTAGAATTACTATTAATTTTGATATAAAAATTTTGGAAATAATATAATTTTCGTAAATAATATAAATAAAATATTATATTAAACAATCAACAATCACCTGATTATCAGCTGATGGTGCTGCACCGAATAAATCAACTATTGGCTGATTGGCATTGTTGGTAGGAGAACTCAAAAATGGGTTTGTACTTGGACCACCCGAGGGCGACTGTACTTTAGCCTAAATTAAAAAATACAATTGACTTAATGAAATTCATTAATTTTGTACAATATTATAATTAGAAATCGTAAATAAAGATTATTTATTTCCAACAGTATTTTCTACTAGTAAAAGTCTTCGAGAAAAGATCTAAACAAATATGTATATTATCTTCAAACTTATTGAAGTAATCTACAATACTCTATTTACCCAAATACACTCCAAATATTTCAAACGTACAAGAATACAAAAGACCTTGGAGTTTATGAAATAATTTTCTAAGTATTATTATAAAAAGATTAACCTTGTATTGATTCATGGCTGCTTCCTCTTCCGCAAGAGCTTGTTGCCTTAACGCTTCATCAATGTGTCCATTTCCAGTGTGATCGAGCCGTGCGTTACTAGCTGCCGTTCCAAATGCGGTACTGGTGGAAGACAGGGCGGACACTCCCGACTTTATATTCGTTCTATTGCTGCTTGGATAATGATAGGGGTGGGTTGGTGGTTGTGGGGATTGTTGTGTAATTAAAAATTAAGTTAGGATAAATATATATGTATATATATATATATATATATATATTTATATATGGGAATAGTAAGGGAGGATAAGTTTTGTTTTAGCACCAAAAAATGTGATGATAGGAATTAATAGGAAAGTTGATAATAGAAAATAAAGGAAAAGACAAACAAAAAACAAAAAGAAGAGTAGTGTAGTACGTATAAATGCGACAGTGCCTAGAAAGTAATTAAGTAAATCGTGTGCACTTATATTTTAAATGGCTTTTTAAACAATTTACACATGCATTTATTTAATTTTTTCTCTCTACGAAAAAATAGTAGTCTGATATAGGTGAAATTTAACTCTGTACTATATATTTCTATATGTTACTGGAATAGTGGGAAATCAGGCAATGTTAGCAATACACCGGCATTGTCTTCAATGCAAAGCGTTTTTCGACAAAGTCTGAAATGTATTCATTTCTCTCTCATTTCCTAGAAATTCTTGAAAATGACAAATGAGAAACCGGTAAAGCAAAAAAGCAGATATAAAATATTTTCTTCTAAACCTGCTTATCTTTCGATACGATAAAGAACAAAAAATACAGATTTTCTATGGTAATATCGGTCTAAAAGTAATATAATCTTCTACTACGATAAGTAACAGTAGGCCCTACATAATAACACACCAGCATAAAGTAAGTTCCAATGTCTACAAGTGCGCATATTATAGCGGCACGCACAGTCTCAACAACCCGCTCCATGCTCGCTTTTGTGTGTGTGGGAGCGAGGTGTATATTGATTGTGGGAGGGGAGAGGGTGTATGCTGTGTGTGCCTGTTGCCCGATAATGTATTCTTTGTAATATTGCCTAAATAGCATTTGGTATTCTATAGAATGTCTAGGTATTATGTTCAATGCTTCGGAAAAGTCTGTAAAAATTCTTTTGTTTCCTACATCGTCAAAAAACGCTTTGCATTGAGGACAATGTCGGGGTATTGCTAACATTGCCAGATTTTCCACTATTCCGGTAACATATGTATATATATATATATAAAACGATCATAATAAGCTACGTATTATGTATCGTAGAAGCGTGTATACACATCACGAATGCATCCATAATACGCTACACACGACGACAGTATTTACATCACCAAGCATACATATTACTTTAGATAAATACATGTGCTGTAATATCTTTCTATATCACATAGAGAGTAAGCCTATTTAATATGCAGGCATTTTAAATATCAATATATATATATATATATAATCTAGTTATTTTTAAATATTGTATGAAATATTATTCATTTATTTATTTTAAATTATTTTACAATTTTGCATATATTATTATTATTATTATTATTATTATTATTATTATTATTATNAATTTTGCATATATTATTATTATTATTATTATTATTATTATTATTATTATTATTATTATTATTGTTGTTGAATATTTATCTTTTTTCTTTTTGTACATGGAAATTATAAGATACAGATAAATTGATAAGATATAATCTTAGCAATAGATGAAAGAATTCATGTATTCGATAACGTTATTTCTCTTAAGTTTACCAATCGAAATTATTGTTGTTAATTACATTAAGGCTCTGGCCAGTCAAATCGTTTTTTTCTCTTTTTATATATACCAATTATATTTTCTTCAGCACATATATCATCTCTCATACGAGATGTTGAAAGTATCACACAAGAAGCAAAATAAAACTAAAAAGCTGAATATAATAATATATTTCAGATTTGCATAGCCTATCGAAATGTGACATTTGATATAGGTGATATAATATGCAAAAAAAAATGATGTATGTACAAATTGTACGAACAAAAAATGAATAAATTCAAATTCTGAACAAAAATATTTATATTCGTATAAAAATTATCCAACTTTTCGAGCCATTTATCAATTAGGACAAAAATCTGAACAAACTATTCAAAGTTAAAATATATAAATAAGATTTTGATATTAATTTTGGATATCAAATTAGAATATGTTTTTGTGACGAAGAAATAAACGCTCGAAAAGTTAATTCGCGTATCTATTATCTCGTAACTAAAAAAGCATGTAAGCAAAATTAGAAAGAGAGAAAGAGAGAAAAAGATAGGTAGATAGATAGAAAAATTGTTTTTTTATAAGATAAATATATAAATAAGAAAATTAGCTGTGTTATCGCATGTCCAATTGATCTACAAATAAATAAACAATAGTTATAAAAAGGTTTATGTTTAAAAAAAAAAAAAGGATTTAGAGATGTTTGTAAGTAATAAAGTTGTTCTGTTAAGGATTTAGTACTAGTGAAGATGTCTGATGATGAACAGCCATTCGAAATTACCGAATGACTGGACCAAAGCCATAAAGTAATGACAAATGACAGGAAATAATGATATTTTTGGTCAATAATTTTATCAACTAAATATTTTCTCCTATATGATATTTCGATAATTTGTTTTTGAAATTTTCGATTAACATATTTTTACTTATCATTTTTCATAGTCATTTAAAAATGGATACACGTAATACTTATATACTTAGTAACAATTATTATAATGCAATTAAATGAAAAAATTATTGCAAGCTTAATGAAAATATAGGAAGAAGATCTCGTTGTTCCTTCTAATTCATTAGAATACAACGTAAACATAATGCCAGCCTGATATATATATATATACGTTAAAAATAAATATTTCTCTCTATTTTCTCTTCATCTTCTTCCATTTACCTTATTCACTTTTTTATTCATTTTTTAGTTTGTTTTATTGAAAATAATAAATCAATATTCGAAGAAAGCTTACATACCTTGCCGATTGTGTTGGCGTATTTGCAGCAGAACCCTTTTTCCCTTCTAATGACGCAAGATGCTGTTCTAATGCATCTAACAAGCTACTCGGTGCCTATAAAAATACTTTTTACTTATATTCCAATTTTAATATGAGTAAATAAAAAGAAATTTTATCGTAATAAAGAAATTTAATTATAGTAAAGAGATTTATATAATTGTAGTGATAAAAATATAATTTATAAAAGCGTTACCTTTGTTAAATCCGGAATATCACCTTTGTCGATACCAACATCCTAAACAAAAATAATAAAATTAGATTAATTAAGACACAAATTACAAATGTATAATAAAATTTATTTAAAGAAATTATGCAAATCTAAATTACCTCTGCTACTTTTAAAAAGTCGCCGACTCTATCCATTCTTATGAGGAACTTTTTATACAGTTCCAAAGCATCTCGACATTGTTTTTTGTTCATATCGAAATATTTCTCTGTAAATAATCAATATATAAGTATTTATTTGAATAATTATGTAATGTTTTGAATATTTTACCTAAGAGATTAATAATCCCATCATTATAACAAGCAAACAAACGAATGAGATCTCGGAATAGAAGCATAAATGCGTTGTTAATAACGCCATTGGTAAGATCGTTTGCTGTACAATCAAATTCCAAAAGGGCGTCTAGTTGCGCTTGTAGAACTGGCAATGTTTTTAAGAGTTTTTCTGCGTTTATGGTACGTAATGTGCCATCTTCTTTTCTAAAAAGAAAGAAAAAACAGAAATTCAAAAGGAAAAATGTAAAAAAAATATCATAAACAATAATACGAATCTTACCCTCTTTTAACTTTACAGAAATCAAATGCCACCGTTCTGTACGAAAGAGCCTTCTCGTTCAAGTATTTGGCGTATCGTCTGATAAACGGTGACATATCGTAACCTGATGAACAATAAAAATACCGCATATTAATTAGAATTGTTTGGTCTTGACTATGAAATTATTAAGATACAGAAGTAGAAATAAAAATAACAACGCCTGATAATAAATAATAAGTGTAGATACATTCATTATACAGTAGGTGACATATATAGGATGGGCCTAAAAGTTTTTAGGTGGTTTTAAAAATTAATTTTTTTTGAAGTTATACTTCTTTTGCGCATTTTGCAAACTGAAATTAGATGCGACCGAAAAATCGACACCATGTAGTTGTCGATATTTACGATGCGCGGGCAAAGCGAATTCAAATTTTTCTTCTTAAGCGGTCACCCATCCAAGTTCTAATCATACTCAAACGCTGCTTGACTTAAATGATCGAGCAGAAACTAGTGCTGTCGCTGCGCCATGTCTGTTGACGCATGAACTTATTTGATATAACTCCCTTATATTAAGTGTGGACTGATATCTACATTTTGATATTTTTTACCAGGATCAGTATACATTTAAATTTCTGTTAAAGTTTTCGAGATGCCTAAAACTAATGCAGAGAAATGTAAAGAATATCGTCYTYKTAGGAAGAAGAATAAGGAAAATAAGGAAAACAAAACGCAAACTAATGCGGAACGTTGTAGGTTGTATAGGCTGCGAAGAAAAATGATTGCACAAGGATATGAATTTTTGAAGTTATTTTTGAGGTTATTGAGATTATATTCGTTTTGGTACGCTAAAGAAGTATAATTTCTTACGTGCGTACATAAGTATTTTTTAAACAATTCAATTTTGTAATTAAACTTGCAGTTTTACAAGTCAGATTGTCAGTTTTATTAACTGAATACAAAAATAGCTTTAAGCATGTTTTTAAAAAACAATTAATTTTTGAAATTAACTAACAATTTTTGGCTCGTCCTGCTTAAATGTTATTTGTTGAAGAGGGAAAGAATAAAGAGATTGTAAGTACGAAGGAAATAAACTTACCGACGCGCGCTCCTGCTGTGCTCAAACAGAGATAAAATTAATCCAAGTTAGTAAATCATAAAGATAGATGCCAGACACATGGAAAAGAGAAAGATTGATTTTTTCCCATATAGTTCTGTAGTTGCTCAGTGCTAGGAAGTTAGTTAGAAAGTGTTATTAAACAATACGGGAGAGGAAGCAGTAGATATAAACGTTTATAAATAGCCATTACTTTTCCTATGCTCTTCTCTTCTGTGTGTTTATGCATGTGTGCTTTTATATATGCAAGGATATGTGGACATTAAAAGATCATCCCGTTTGCAATTTGAGTTAGAAAGAAAAGAATTTGCGCGCAAACTTATTGAAGCATTTGTAGAAAATTATTTCTATGTTATCATTGTATCCCATGCATACTCCCCAATACGGCAAACATATATATAATAACAATCATTATATGTACAATAGTAATAAGCATAAATTCTTACTAAATGAACAAAAAAAGTTATAAATACAAATGAATCATCTTACTCTCGTAAAATTTGCAATAATCATTATACATTATGGCAATTAATATACAAAATATACACAATAAATTTGGACACATTTGTTTTGAAGAAGAAATTTGTTTAGTATGTTCTTTCGTTATCGGAGAAAATAAACGATATGACGGTTGCGGCAGAATTTACTTGTGAAATAATATCAGCGATTGTTTTAGGTAACACGTTACGAAACACGCGAAGTCCTTATTTGTTAAATAATTTAATAAATAATTAAGTATTTTATTTATTAAATAATTTTTATTGATATCGGAAATTACGGTACGAGGATAAAAAAGAAAAGAAGAAAAATATCGAATTGGTAGTCATAAGATGTTAAAAAGGAACAGTCCATTATTCTTCGCAACCCTTCGATAAATACACTCACCTTGTACTCCGCTTTTATCGAGGAAATTGCTGAGCTGAAAAGTGCTGTTGCTCGATGCCAGATATTGTGTAAACCTCTGGAACAATAATGACAACAAAAATATAACAAATGAATTCTGAATAATTTCAATTTTTAATGCATGCAAAAAATCGTTGAAATCGTTTGTTAAATAAAAAAGAATATTTACCTCATTGCCATAGCAAAGCATATGGTGTACTGTTATGAGTGCTTTGAAAACGACCGTCCAGTTCGTGTTTTGCGATCGTTCTATCAAAAGATTAGCGAGTTGTGGTATCGACACGTTTGGCTCGTTTGTACAATGAATGAGATCTATAATTATAAATATTTAATTGTTAATAAAAATATTTCTAGAATAATATTAATTTTTAACAGAATTTTTTTATAAAAAAAGATAGATCAAAATTTGGGTACAATTTATTCCCAGAAAGATGGTAACCATGAATAATCTGAAATTGAGATGATCTTCAATTTGAAGATTTTTATTTTGTTTGAAAAAGTAATTTCATTTCTATTTTATATTTGATTATATCTTGTTTCTTATTAGTAAGTAAAATTATTTGAAATTATATTTTAATAATTGTATAAGGATTGATAATATTTTATAAAAAATAAAAATCACAAAACGATGAGATTTCTACTGCGTATAAATTTTAATCATTTCAAGAGATAGATTTCAGCATAACTTGGAACAATTGTCAAAGAAATAGTATCACATAATAGACTAAATAAAACACATAGATCAGACAATGTCAATATCAATTTATCCGATCAATCCAAAGTGATCGTTTAGATTCGAATGGCTGAAAATCCATACGTCAATCTGGTCGATTAGCAGAAGTAATTTCATCAAGTACGATCCCGAATCAGGGGAGGTCAAGGACCGTGAACCAGTGCAATGTCTCCCTGACGTACACAGATAACGATCAATGATCTACATCCCTAGTAGTCCTAAAGAGAGAACCCGTTAAATGCGAGAGAGAGAGAGAGAGAGAAAGAGAGAGATAGAGAGAACTATGAGACAAAAAAACACGACTCCGACTCCCCTCCAAAACTCTCATCCCCTTCACCACCCTTCAAGACCCATTCACTCATTCTTTCTCTTTCTATCCATTTAAAGAGATTATCTTTTAAATAGATCAAATTATCAATCGATCTTCCAAACATTTATTTGTTTCGTCACGATGTAACTTTTTAGTATAATACATACATATTTTTATGTGTGTTTGTAATTATGGCGCGCAATGGATTGTAAATTAAAAAAAAAATTATTTACATTTTATTACATACTATTTTATATTTGATACTATAAAATATTGAATAATATCAAATGAATGATAAAATTAATTTTTACATATTTACATTAGACAATAAATTATAAAAAATTGTTTAACTAAGTGTAGTTATAATTACCGATGCATTTATGTATGCATTAATGTGTATGCATTTATGTGCGATAAAGTGTAATAATTTGTGTAGGGATCAAAGATCAAATATGTATTAGATGGTACATTTACGCATGTATCAAATTTGATAAACCTACATAATTTGAACAAGTTGAAAGAAGTAGAGTAGGACAATGATAGGCACGGTCACCGTCTTTAAGTATTGATCGTACCAACGAAGCCAAGCTGCTTCTTGGCTTGTACACATGTGTGCTTACTTATATATACATATCAATCTATGTGTATGTGTAACATAAAAGATAAAATCGTTAACGCCTTGGAAAGGAAACGAAGAAAATCTTGAATGAATGATTCATAAAAATATTTTTAAATAAATTGCTTTCAATAAAGAAACTTCTTTCTTCAGTCAATTTACTCAAGTTTTATCTATGTAACAAGCATTAGTAAATACATAGAAACATATGTATAGTACGTATCAATAATAGAACGGTGATATGAACGGTCACGTAAGAATACGTAAAAAATTATATAAAAATACATTAACGGGACTGCTTTCGCTTCTTTAATAATATAAAGTCTTGTGCATTTAATGTTATTGCATATTACTGATTCAGTGAATACAGAAATACTTCTATACGTAGATACATGTATGTATGTATATGCGACTTACATAAGACTCGTTTTCACTAAGTGTGACACTGAAAACAGATCGATCTAATTTTATCGGATCATCATTTTTATCATTATGATAAGCATAAAGAAAATATGGATAAAGAACAATATCGAGTTGCCTGATCAATTTTACAAATAAGAATACCCTTCCATCTCCTCTTTAATAATTGGATCGTTTCATTAATTATAAAAACAGCATCAAAATTATATATTTTCTCAATGTTTTTATGAAGTGAACTTACACCACTTTATAATAAACGATCCAATTATTCATTTTTGGTATCATATGTGTGTGTGATAAAATATATAAATAAAAATAAAAATAAAGATTGATAGGTATAGATCAGTTGCTACTAAATTGCACAGCAAACAAACGAAAATACTCTTCCATCTCTTCAGTAGTTATTTATTTGTTGTGTAGCATATGATAAATGCAAAAAAATATCATTGACAGTTGATAATCAACCGTTGCTCAATTTTACAAGGAAACAATAACAATCCCCTTTCTTTCTACAATATTTCTTTTTTTAATATAGGAAAAATATTAATAATCTTAAAAGCGCAAAATATAAAAGAAAAGACACTCTAAGTGTTATTTAAGTGATGTATTTGTGTATCAAAGTCTGTTTTCAAAGATCAAGTGACCGACGGCTTTGTAAAGTAACGTGTACTTGACCTTGTCAGCTTTCTCGCTCTAATTATACACCCCCGCATGTATGTATGGATAGGGCAACTAATTTGGTTTTACTACTGGCATTACTCCAATGGTTCAACGCACATAAGCTCCTTTACGCTCTTCGATCGGATGCGTTTGCTCGATGAGGAACGCATGTGATAAATGCGTTAACTCTTCTCCTTCTTCCTTTCGAATTAAACGGGGAAAAAATAGAAAGAAAAAGAGAGAAAGAATGACTTAAATACTTTCCTTCAGATTCTGGTTAGCCTTCGATATTCAATTATCTAAAAGAGAAACCATTTGTTTTTCATCATTATTATTGAACGAAAAAAAAACTGTTGATTATGTTTTTTTTCTTGCCTTAAATAATTAACGTGATAAAGATTCTATATTCAAACGATTGTAATTATTCAATTTTTTAATTAATATTAATGAGAGAGAAAAACAATATTTTTTGTTTGTTTTATTTTTTTACAGAATTTTCGTCAATTTAAATGTTTATATTGCAAGACAAAGATAAACAGAGAACAGGAAACTATTAAATTTTTATTCGACTTATTTTGTATAATTAACGCAATAACAATGTTAGGATTAGTGAAAGAAAGGAAAAGGATATTTTGTTTTTAGTTTTGAAGAAATGATTTAACGAAAGCACGTAAGATACAAATATGATATCTTTCAATAAGGAATATTTTCATTCAACTTGAAAAATAATCGCAATTCAATTATTTAACTCCTTCAACATTCGTTCTCCTATATAATTTTCTATTAAGGCCATACATACGTCCAGGATTTCAAAAAAAATCGATTTTTTTTTAAACAGATTGTTGTACTCTATAGTTTTAGGCTTGTTTCTGTGAAAGTCGATTGCAAAAATTCCTCATAGACCTAAGTTATAGTAGAAAATGTAACTGCCCGACGAGAGTATGGTGCGCGCAGATAGCTGTCCTTTGTTTGAGAACTTATAACTTTAAACGCGTTTTTCTCGAAACTACTTTTTCCACTACGGTCACCATGATAACTCATACAATTTTTAATAGTTTTTAATGCGATTTTTTTTTAAATATTCGAAATCGTTTTCTCTATAGTGTGTGTCGAGCCGGATTTGGGATACTTTGATTTCAAAACTGTATAAAAATAATTAAAGTGTAAAATTTATGACGTAAAACGCATACTTTTTTAAACTACCAAATTTTCCGAAATTCAAAATTCCGGTTCGACACGCTATAACTATAACGTTATTTTACAAGAATTTTTAAAAATTCTGTAGACCGATCAAAATTTACTGGAGATATAATACAAACCGTGGAGCAACTTTTTTTTCTTAGTGTTGTGGATCACGTGATTTTTTATATAGTAATTTTTGTAAAAATAAAGTGAAATAAAATTGTTTATAAAGTTTAAATACCAATAAACAATGTGCACTATTTATTTGTATTAATTTCTATTGTTATCCCTACTATATAAGAAATTTTTTTCTTTTAGCGCATTTTAAGCGCTATTAGACGTATGTAGGACCTTAAAAGAAAAAAAGTGAATTTTTTTTTAAACTATAAGACTCGACACGTAACTGTGAACACATAAGTGCAAAGTATACACCACACTTTCTACGATCTCCACTTTCAAAGCTAATATCAAAGACACGAGGCCGTGTGACATGTAATCCTCCATTAACCGAGTTTAAGTAATGAAATTCTAATTTTACCTGGTTATTTATCTACGTCATCCCAATTACATTCGATTCGATTCAATTCAACAGAAAGAAAAAGAGAATATTAAACGAAAATCGCCGAACGTAAAATAAAGAAACGCTTTGGACGTGAACATTTAATTGATTGTGGAAAACATATAAAGGGGGAATTACAAATGATAATATTATCAATTCAATATCGAAGTAATCTTCTCAACACTGTTTGCTGGGAATTCATTTTTTATGAATGTACCACTTGGAATAATAATTTCATTCCTTCAAGAAAAACTTGATTGCGTAATAAATCGTCGTTTAAATGTTTTTCAAAGAGTTTCGATGCAAATTACTTCGGTAAATATGTATTAAAATCATTTTATTATTATTATTATTATTATTATTATTATTATTATTATTATTCTAAATATAATTTATTAAAAAAATAAATTATTATTATTTAATTATTATTATAATTAAATTTATTACTGTTATTTTATTTGATTTTCTATCATTTGATGCTATTTTTACATCGAAGTAATTAGCTTTGAAGATTAAATAAATGTCGAATTAAAATGACATATAATAATAATAATTGTAAAATACAATAGGTACGAAGAATTTCTTTGTCATCGTTTAATTTAATTTAAGCTGCATAAGAATAAAAATCGTAGATAAGGCGATCGAGACTTAATTTAAAAAATATTTTTCACTTATCGACTCACACGATCTACCTTTCGAACCTTTGTGATTCATACAATATATAATAAATGTTCCTTTGCTCAATGATCTAGATTAATGGTGTCGAATACAATGTCCGCGGTCCGAAACTTGAAACTTCGATGTGACTTTAAAAAGTCTGATCTTTTACTCTCTCTAATATTTTTTGAAGAGATCTTTCCTTTTTTTTTTAGTCTAGGCTCGACAATTTTTTTATAATCAAATTAAATTTGATGACTCATATTTATAAACGAGCTTGACACTACTGATCTAGATTCAATTCTAAAATATGAACAAATAAATAAATAAATGTCTTATACTAATGATTTGTTGTTTATATGATATATTTGTTATTTTGCTATTATTTTCATACAAAAAAAAAAAGAAGAAAGAAAAAGGCAAGAAATCTGGGTTACAGGAAGGAATCGAATCTTTAAGTAACTCAGTAGATCCTTTTCACTTAGGATTCCTCTCGTAAATTTAATTTTGTAGTAAGAATAAGTATATAGGAAATACTAGTATTTATCTCCTTGATAGAAATAAATAGAGAAAAGAGGTTGAGACGGTAAAAGAATGTGAGTACTATCGAAACAGATGGTCTCTTTCGAGGATTCCGACACAATTCGTTTCTTAACCTTTAGCGCAAAATCAGCGAAAAGGTATAGGTCAAAGAAGAAAACGTGCCGATGACATTCACCTACTCGATTTTACTATATGAAAGAAAAAGAGAGAGAAAGAAAAAAAAATAAAGAGAGAGAGTGAGACCATAGCTCTTTATTTACTCGTAATCGTGCGAAACGTGCCGTGAGATCATGTTCGTTCAATTCTTATCAAAGAGGAAGATGAGCAAGCAAGAAGGATCAAAAACAAATAGGATTTAAGTATTAATGAATGGAAAAAAAGTTGATGCTTGTGTACTTATCGCACGTCCTTAACAAAGAGACATATATATTTATTTGTAGATGTGTGTTCATGCATACTTTATTCACGCTCGCTTGCATTCATATAACTTTGCGAATACGTACACATTATCTATCTTTTTATCTTTCTTTTATTTCAATTACGATAATACCTTTACCCTCGTTCCTAATTCAACCTTATAAGATTATAATAACATTAGAAGGAAAAAAGAAAAATAAGAAAAGAAATTGCGAAGAAAGAAAAATATATCGTTGGAGAAGTTTCAATTTCGCGCTCAAATAACTCGAAAATTGAATATTGCGCACGCACGTAACGAAATTTGAATTTACTATCACGTAATCGATAAGTAAATTCTGTCAAAAAGAAATAGCGTGAATTATAAAAACAATAAACTGATTAATCGAGAAAAAATAAACCTAAATACATATAAAGAAAAACTAAAATAAAACAAAGTGAGAGTAAAAGAGAGAAAATTAAATTTGCAGATTTAATATCAAAACTGATGCATTGTAAAAATGGGTAAGATTTAACGAAAAGTTATTTTTTCTTTTAATATATATTTCATTTTTGATTGACATTATCACGCCTTTAAAGAATTTTATCGTTTACGCCCCCGTCCAAGTCTGGAGATATACGTACAGTATATACAGTAGGGAGACCGGTAACATTTAGTACGGACACGCGCCGTCAGTTTTATGATAATGAGCATCGTTTTCATGCGAGCTCACAGAACACGTCTTATGCATGTATTTATATGTACATTTATATGTACTTTATTCCTCTTATTAGTATTTACTTACTTTCCCTCTCGATGAAGTTATATCACTTATCTGCCGGTCAGGGAAACAATATGGATTTTTTTTACAACGTTATCGAAGCGTTAACGGGCGTTACGAATTATCAGTGGAAATAAGCAGACTTATTTCCACAAATCCTCAAGAATCGTTAAAGTTCCAAAATCCTAGGAGATATTAATAATTTATACTATTATACTATTTGCTTTTGCTTTCGTCGAATATGACGTATATTTCTATTTAACAATAGAACACGATACTAAAGTATATTCTAGATTTTGTATATTATTCGTTGTCACGAAATTGTTACGAGATGTTGTTGAGAAATCATTTATTGAATTATTTTATTTTCATTTTGATCGATCCCAAATTTTTCAAATATAATAGATGTTCCAAAAATTGCTTTAATGAACTGAAAAATTATAAATTATTTTGTTTACAAGTATTTGAAGTAGTCACATCGTGAGTTCATATTTCTTTAACGAAACTCTGACTAAAAATTGATATCTTGAAATAAAAAACAAAATATAGTAATTCTATTTAATAAACCAACATTGATTTTTAGTTTCATTTTTCTTTTCTCACTAAAGCAACTTTTAAGACATACATGTAATTAATTTTATAAAATTTTTTATGACTAATTAATATTATATAATTAATATCGTAGAAAATAAAGTTAAATTAAATGGAAGATCCGATAATTAAGTATACTTTTAATTAGTTTGAAGATAATTTATATTTGATAAATATTTAATCAAATAAGGGCGTAGCCAGAGATTAAATATTCCTTGTTACTTTGAATCGATCGTTCACTGATAATAAACTTACACGAATATTTTGTAAATTGATAACCTTCACGTAAACCTTTTTATTCTTTGAAGAAAAATATTCTAATTCGCACGAAATTGCGGAAGGATACGCACGAGAGAACGTGTAAACCATATAAGAGAAGAGTCTAACTCTCACCGAGGGTACTTTAAAATTATGAGCTTAAGCGGATAGTCTACTTCTCAAGTTTACTTCTTAACATCTCATTACCGATTTCATTTATTAGTTTTAATTTAATCCAAAAATATTAAATCATTTCATGACTTTTTTATAAAAATAAGCTCTTGTTAACGTATATTCTTTTCTTTTTTCTTTTTCATAAAATTAGAAATATGAAATATTTCAACGATAAGAAAATAAAAAGTAACTTTATTTAAATTCAAATGACCTTAGATTATACCATGATCTCGTTATTAAATTTGTTGTTGTCTTCCTATGCTAAACCTATAATTCTTGATCACAAACCGTACTCTAGTGTATGTAATCATTTGACACATACAGCTATACTTATAAATATGAATGATATATAACTCATAAACCAACATAATCGTCTAAGATAAATTTAATATTGTATTGATGCATATAATAGCAAATCTTACAACACGATTAATGTCTTGTTAAATTATATTCCAATATTCTGTTGAACTAAATTTCTATTGTCGCAGAAAATAATAAGAAATGTATTAAAATTTGTAGATTAAATTAACCGATGAAAGTAGTTAACGTACTCTAATCAATCCTTTCCTGACTCTATAAAAATTATTATAAAAAAATATTAAATGAATAATTTAATACAATATAAAATATAATACAATGATATGTGTAACCAACCATCTATGCATCATACTAAGAACGATGATTCATTCTTGTTAGCCTCCAACAAATTCTAAGAAATAGCTAAAGGCAATACACCTTCCCTATCTACATTCATGCTTTACATTCTTTCAAATTCGAGTTGTAACAAGGAATACCCTGCTCCCAATTAGTATTTCAAAGAATCTGCATTTAATAAGAGCGAATATAATTCTCTTACATTGAATGCGTCGCATCCAAAAATAAATCAATGTTTTCTAACATACGACTAAAACAATTTCTCAATAATCTGATTAAAAATCACCAACTCTCAACACACATTAAATCAAATACATCATAATCTTTTACAAACGTATGGTGGCTGAGTAAAGTCGAGGATGGAAAAAATTAATGTCTCCAGAGTAAAATCAATAAATCATGTAACACATTGATGGTACAGGTATCGCCATAAAAACGAACTAAAAACAGAATTTTTATCATAATTAAATAAAAAATCTGCTTCACAACGAAACGGTTTTTTTTCAAATGGTGAGAGAACATGAACGAAATTTCGTCGTGTTGTACATACTCAAAATCGAACGACCTCACTACGACGTGCGGCGCATCGACGTGAGCGCGAGCATTCTCCCCCTCTCCACTGCCTTCTCTCCATCTCACTCTTTCACTTACTCTTTCTTTCTCTTATTCGTTACTCGCTCTGTTTCGCTCTCTCTCTCTCTCTGTCTTTCTTGAGGATAACTGGTCTCACTGCATTCTCGTCTTCCACGCTACTCTCTTTGCTTTTGAAGAAGCGAAAAAACATTAAAAGAAACAATAAAATTCGCAACATCCTGAATAGTTTAAATGTCAAATAGAAAGGGTCGGAAGGAGACGTGTTCAAATCGTGCCAAATCGATAGAGTTGAACCGAATCGAGATCCGAGTCGATGTAACCCAGGAAAAACGATTTTGGTTTTTAAAAAGAGTATTAAATTTGTGGGAGAAGAAACATCGGGGAATAGTATAAACTAAAATAAAAAAGAACTTACAATCGAGATGCTTTTTCTTTGGTCCTATCATCTCCTCAGTGGTAGCTTTGCAGACGGATTTGGCGAGCCCTTGGCCAGCGATGCTGTGTCTAGCAGCCAGTAGTCTGTCGTTTATCGTTTGTCCCGCCATACTGTCGTCCTTCCTGTCACTTTCTTTCTTTCTTTTTGCCTTTCTTTCTTTTTGCCTTTCTTTTCCTTCCTTCCTGTCTGCTTTCTTCCCCTACGTCGACGACTCTTCAAAACCGAATGGATTTGTCAGCAAGTGTGAGGTTCGTCCTTTCCATCTGTGGTTACTCTCGCTCAAACAGCATGTACCATTCTCGCGGCGCACTGCCACTATTCGAAGTGTCCGATTCCGTGTATATGTATGTATGTGTATATGTATGTATATGTATATGATATATATATATATGTGTCGTGTGTATGTGTGATTAAGAAAGAGAGTGCTTTCTAGGTATATGATGCGTGCGTGTGTGCGTGTGTGTATGTATTCACGAACGTAAATTTGGAAAATACGTGAAGAATGAAAAACTAAGAAAGAGGAAGTAAGAACCAAAGATAAGGGAGAAAGAGAAAAAGAGAGAAAGAGAGAAAGAGAGAGAGAGAGAGAGAGAGAGAGAGAGAGAGAGAGAGAGAGAGACAACACTTATACACGAGATAGTAAAAGTCACGGCGATTGAGGGAAGAAAGAAAATATGAAATTTCGAAATTGGAAGCAACCAAGTAAAATGTCTCCCCCAGCACGATACGTTTTAAACGTTGATTAACTAACTGTTCCTAAACGACAATTGTACTTTTCTCTCTCCTCACCTAAATTTCCTCTTTCAAGACTTTATCGATCCCGTTTTTGATCACCTACCGGAGCCGTACGAGCTTGCGCTCGCGTTTACACGCTCGCCAGGCTAATACGGCTCAGCTCTTAACCCGACGACGAAAATGACGAAAACGATACACAATCACGACGACGAGACGACGACAACGACTCGGGTTCGCACCGGCGACGAAAGGCTATCGCGAATTGCTTTAAGATGGCGACCTTACTATTCTATGCTCCCCTCCCCAACACTTCGTACCGCCCACTGACCAACCAATCGCGTTACGTTACTGATCGACGCTCCCTCCTCGACATCGACCACTGATCATCCTACCGTCCAATGACATTTAGATATGGTCACGTGATCACCTAACACATCTTCCCTCGTCTCATGGCGCGAAAATTGTAACTTTTTAAATGTATTTTAAATCTCATTTGTTTTTCTCCTTTCCTTTAAACTTTATATTAAGAGAGAAATTTTTGTCTATTTAGTTTTTTAATATTTTTAAAATTATTTACACATATAAATATTGAAGGATAATATAAAATGTGTTATAATTATAAATTGTTTCACATTTAATCTGTATTATTATTTATTGCAGTAATATTTTCTTTCAGAATTGTATATATGTATAAAAATACAAATCAACTTTAAAAGAAATTACGTGTTATCATTAGTTACTTCTTTTTTTCTTTTTGTTATGTATTATATTCAATTCAAGAACACAATGTATTGTGCGAGTTTTACAATTCTCACCTACCACTTTTAATGAATAAATTTTTAAACATTTCTTTCCACTTATCTTTGACAAGTACCGTGTTATGCTGGAACATAAGAAATTAAATATTAATTATTAATATATTTGTTAATTGCAATATTTAATGTAAGAAAATATTGTAACCTGTAATATATGGACTCCTCTTTGCGTAAGGACAATAAGTTCTTTCATCCCATCGTTGGTTATATCCATGTAGGTTATAGAATGCACAGGTGCATCGAATAATTTTCGTACGGATAATTCCCATGTGTCACCAGATAATGCAAAAATTAAAACTTCCTGTCCATATGTACCTAAGAGTATTTCATTTTGACCATCCATGTTTATATCTGCAACACATGTACACAATATGCAATCTGATAAATCGCTGCTATTTAATATCATATCTTTTTCCATTCCACAATGTAAGATATCCCTGTAAATAAAAAATTACATTATTAAGAACATTGAAATTATAATTAATTTAATAATAATTTTGCTTACATAAAGACAATAGCATTACTTGTATTACCAATCAGGATGTTCAATATTGGGTCCTCATCAGAGAATAACTCTTTGGCTGTTAAAAAGAAACAATTTCATTTAAATTTAATCTATACATGTTATAATAAAATCAGTGATTTGATTTAATTATAAAATAGACCTACATTTACATTCATAATTTAATGACGGTGGTGGAGGGATATTAATTTTATGAGGAAATATATGTATGCTTGAAATTGGTTTATCATATCTCAATGACCAATTTCTAACCATTTGTATTTCTAAGACGTCAACTAAAGTTACTTTGACTAGACCACATTCGCATCCAATTGCACTAAGTCGCCTAAAAAAATATTAAGATTACATACAATTTGTAAATTTTGTTTGTAACAATAATTATTATATGAATTACCATTTATAGTTATCAAAATAATAAACGCTTATCCATAAGCAAATAGCTTGAATGTTATACAGTTCAGGAAAATATTTCTCAATGGATGGTTCAATGTAACCGTGAGTCAATTTATCTTCCATAATCATATGAATCTTGTAATCGCTTCCAGAAATTAACCAAATCACCTGTAAGACGAACACCAAATTAGAGGAGCAAAAATATATTTTTGTATATTTTGTGATAATTCATAAAACATAGAAACCTCATTGCCAGAAGGTTGATGTGGTAATATTGTATGATATAAATGATATGGAGTATACGATAGCTCAACCATAAGACAATTTTGAGCAATAGTTTCAATTGTACTGTTTTCATCGCCTTCTCCATCAACAACACCTTCAGAATAAATATTCAAATATCTTTCAACGGATGTATTCGTGCTCGTTTTAATAATAGTTATTCCAATTACAAATCCATCACCCACATCCATTTTGTTATAAGCATCAATGGCAATAATTTCAGCCCCATCTAACAAAAATTATAGAAAAAGATTTCTATATAAGATATAATATACATATACTATATATTATATTTATATATATTTTTATATAAAATTTTGAAATTAATGGAATTATACGATATACATAAAATCACAAACTAGGAATGTACGTGAAGAGTAATTCCTTGACTACTGGCCTCAAATTCCATTTTGGCGTAATATGATATTCACACGAGTATATCTTTCTTTTTAAAGATGCCACCAAAACTTTGTTAACTCCACTGAGTGAACATAATTGTGTCATCGAGTAAATATTGCTTTGGGAAGCCAATGGAAACCAATGTGCATCAATTAAATTGCTCATTACGATAATATATACACTTTGACATTGAACAACAACAATAATCCTACGATTATCACTTTTATATAATTCTTGAAATATATTTATATACTTTAGTTTTGGAATGTTTTACGATTTACTATATCTGACATTCTTTGATAATACCAAAGAATAGAGAAGTACACAGAAGCTCACAAATCCCCTTTTTTATCTACCTCGTTTCATTTTTGTTATAATCGGGACCACCAGTGGGCGATAGTATGTAAAATACTGTATTCTTTGACCGTAGGAACGCTGGCATAGAACCTTAACAGCAGAACGAAATGAATAAGTGCTTCTAATTGTTCCCTAATTGCTCCATCAACATCCATAATTGCTACCTTTTTTAATTAATTATTTAATTAGTTATTAATAATTGAAAATACAAAAATGTTTTTTCTCATTTCTAAGCGAAGCAACGAAGTTTGCAACAGCAGAAAAAAATAAATAAGTGCTTTTAATTGGTCCCTAATTGTTCCATCAAAATCCATAATTGCTATCTTTTTCAATTCATTATTTAATTAGTTATTAATAATTGAAAAAACAAAAATGTTTTTTCTCATTTCTAAGCAAAGCAATGAAGTTTTCTATTGTTTTTTGTTTTCAATCAATTGCTAATTTTTTGTTTGTCCGGCTCCTCAACTTTATTTTATCAAATATCTTTTATTTATCGTTAATTAGTAGAAAATAATTATTACATTTTGAATAATTATGAAATGGCGACGTCATGAGTGGGAGATATGTTATACACATGCGCAACCACAAATTCAAAGCGCAAGCGCACTTTGAAAAAATGAAAGTAAAGTTGGTATATATATATACCTGCAGGGAATATATTTAAAGTTGATTTCTAAAGTAACAACCGATAGGGTAGTGAAAAGAAGTAGGTTAATCGTACATAATGTATAAACAATAGGTAAATATTTTGTAAATAATAATTTTTCTTTTAAATATATCTCCTGCAGGTATATCAACTTTACTTTCATTTTTTTCAAAGTGCGCTTGGGCTTTGAATTTGTGGTTGCGCATGTGTATAACATATCTCCCACTCATGACGTCGCCATTTCATAATTATTCAAAGTGTAATAATTATTTTCAACTTATTAACGATAAATAAAAAATATTTGATAAAATAAATTTGAGGAGCCGGACAAACAAAAAATCAGCAATTGATTGAAAACAAAAAACAATAGAAAACTTCATTGCTTTGCTTAGAAATGAGAAAAAACATTTTTGTATTTTCAATTATTAATAACTTATTAAATAATTAATTTAAAAAGGTAGCAATTATGGACTTTAATGAAGCAATTAGGGAGCAATTAAAAGCATTTATTCATTTTTTCTGCTGTTGAAGTTCTATGCCAACTTTTGTATGCTAAGCGTCACTATGGGGTTGCACTTTTTGATAATACGTTTGAATCTTTATTGCCGACTGGGAAAGATTCGTATTAATTGTAAATTTTTTTATTGACCGATACATATCTGCTGAGGATCAATTAACTAACACACGCGATCTAAATAAAAGGTTATAAAGACATAAAAGGTTTCTTATTATTAAAAAATATTCAAATAGTTGAACACATGGAGACGTTTTTAAATATTAATTGGTAATTATATTTTATCTTTTTGAATATATTTCTAAAATGATTACTTTTAAATATGTAATATATATTTATGATATACATTATTATTTTATAACATATCATAATTTATGTTTTAGGGAAACTGATTTAACTGATATTGTAGATAATGAATTTATTAATGGAGAAAGATTAATAAAAGAAAGCGTAATGCATAGAATGTTACATGGAGATTTTAAAAATCCATTCAATTACATGGATGAAGATTATGCAGCAGTTAAAGTCGATATGATAGAAATAAGTGATGATAGTTCAGAAGAAAGCGAATACAATGTCTGTGTAACTAAATTAAATGAATTACAAAAAAAACTATATATACCAGGTTATGAAAGATTTCCATCTCAATTTCCGATGTCTGCTTTGACTGCTGAGGAACAAAATATTTGTTTACGTATGATAATGAAATTTTCTATTAATCAACAATCAGTTTTAACCCTTAAAGATAAACAAAATCTATGTACCTATCGTGTAAGCAAAATATAAAATAATATATTTCTTTTTATTATTATTTTTATTATTAATAAATTTTTTGAAATATACTGTTAATTTATTAAATGTGTATGTTAAATTTAGAGGATTAAACATATCATAAGGCAAGAACAAGATCAATATTCGAAGATTGTTGAAAAGATATGGGAAAAAAATAAATGGAAAAAGATTTATTGCGAGGATTTTTTTAACGCACGATGGAAATATAGATCAGACTACATTCTTACATTACCAAAATATTATCTCGAAGAAACATATATTCCTTTTATTTTGGATGAAGAAATCAATGTAGAATTTTTATCTACTTGCTTAAGTAAGGTACTAAATTATAATTCAAAAGTATGAAAATAATTTAGTTTTTTTTTTTTTATATAAATTAATTGAAATAAAAAATATTTTACTTTCAGGGAGAACTACCAGAAATAAAATTACCAACTCTGACTAAACGTTTTACATTAGATTGCAATTCTGAAAGATTACAAGAATATTTTCCAATATTAAATAAATCCTGCAATCCACCGGTGCATTTCAAATTATCTGTAAGCAAAGATCCAACTTGTAAATCGTTGGCACAAGATAATGAAGTAGATTTAGTTATTTCATCAAGCGGTCTAAACTGTTTAGCATCTAACGCTGGACTAACTGATTTAAAAGCATGGATGTTACCTGTAACGATTAAATATTTTAATGGGAAAAATATTATATATATTAACAAGCCAGCACCACCGGTTTCTGCTAATATACCAGAAAAAAATCATTTTGTATTTAAATATATTTTAAGAAAAGCTATATTTCAACATGAACCTGTATCTGAAAGGTAAGACAATAATGTGTTATAACTATCATTATAATAACTTTGATAATAATATATTTTTAATATATATTAGGTCAGATGGTATTACAATATATGACGATGATGATATGTTCGGAAATCTTTATTCCGATGATTATATATCACTCGAAAAAGATAACAGTAGCTCGATTAGCAGTTCGAACAACACAAAACTTATGGAAGATTTTGAAAATAAAAGTATGAATAAAGATGATGTATCGAAATTAAAGAAAAGTGATTGTTTAAACACATCCAAATTAAAGGAAGAAATGCGTAAGTATTAACTGTTTGAATTCCAGGGGTCTTAAGAAAAATCGTGACGAAAAATGCCAAGTGAGGTGACAATGTATCAATTTTACGTTGCGGTTTAATAATATGGCACTTTTCGACAAAAAATCTGAACAATTTAAACACGCTGCTTGAGACTTAAAAGAAAAATGATTACTTTTTCTAGATAATATAGAAAAACAATACCATAAAAAAGAAAAGGGCGATACGAAACCATACAGCTCAAGTTGCGTATCATATAATCTTTTTAAAATTGGACCATCTTCCAAAGAGAAAAACTTTTTAATGAAAAGTACACTTAAAGAGTATAAAATATTAGTTCGTACAAAGGAAGATGGGTATGAGGTTGGTATTTCTAAAATGATTATTAATAATTAGAATTGTAGAAAATTATATGAAGCTTTAAACAGAATTCACAGGAATCAACAAGACAAAAAATATTATTGGTACCAAAATTGGAGCATCAAACTGCATTTGGAGGAGAAGCTATAACATTAAATGAAGGATTGAAACAATGGATATCTTTAATCTTTCGTCCTGACACATGTATCGCAAGAGGTATTTAATGCTCATAATTATTCAACTGTATGATAAGCAAAATGTACACACCTTAATACATTTATATATAAGATATGTATATATTATATTTAAACAGTGAGAATATCAATGAGCAAAACAGAAATAATACAAATACAAAAACGCAATGCCTTGGCAATTTGTAATGAAGTCAAACGGCTTTATAATAAAAAAGTAAATGTTTCATTAATTTTATTATATAACATTATTCAAACTTTATCATATGCTTCTCCTGGTAATTATATCATTACAAACTCTAAAGATGGAACTTTTGCTATCGTTTACAAAGAAACATCTACTACGAGGTACGCATATTTTATTATATTCAATTGTACGTTATAGATCAACCCTGGAGTTTCAAGCAATTAATCTTGATTACATTTTTTTAGGCAAAACGTTTTAGACTTACAGACATTATATGAATCTTCTCAATGTCACACAATACCTACTTTCTCGTGGCCTAAGTTGGACAGATTATGCATAACACCATTACATGAACGCTTAAACAGAATGCCACTTATGTTTATTCCCCGAAAAGGACACAAACGAAAATTGAAAGCAAAAACTAGTACATCAGAAGAAATAAATAAATAAATATTAATAGAGCATTCATTTAATGTACATTTGTACATTAAACTATTTTTATACTTTATAAGAGATTTTAATGATTAATTAAATAATAGAACAGAATTTGTTCTATTATTGTATCAAAAAGGATCGTGTATATTTATGAATGTAGAAATATACGAAATAGTTTTAGTAAGACTTTTTAATAAACACAAATTATTTTAATTTTATACATTAATTATACCGATTATCCTATTTACGTGTTATTTAACAATTTTAACATTGATTCAAAAATAAATCTCTCTCTATTGAACAATATATGTAGGCACAGTATATATATACAGGTAACCTTCGAAGAACACGAATACCTTCCGAATTACATGGTTTCAAACTACACGATTTTCAAGTAATTCTTTTGAAAAAGAATAAAATACATATATTATCTGATATAAAATTATTTCCATATGTCATTTGCTTTTTTTGATAAAATAGAGTTATGATCAAAAGCAAGATAGTTCAGGATTATAAAGGAATTATAACTTTTATCATGAAATTGAAAAATCACGTCTATGACTTCTTAATTCCATTCCATTTTAATTGAAATAAATACACATTACTTATAAATGTAAATGTAAGTATGTAATTCAAATTTCGTTGCGATATTTCTTTTAAATTTTATCATGCATTGCAAAATTTTTTGTTTTATTTTTCTTTTTGTCAACAATAAAGCGTTATAGTATCTCAGATGAATACGACACTTTTATTTTGATAATAAAAATTTAAGATGAAACGTTTTTTCAAAACTAATTAAAAAATTAATTTGAATTATGTAATATATAAGATTTCTTAGAAGTATTTACCAATATGAATTCAAACAATAAAAATTTTTAATTTTATACTTGACAAAAAAAAAATTTTAAACGTAACGTTTTTTTTTATTTTCACACTTGAAACGGAATCCCGTTTTTTGTAGTCTCAAATAACACAATTTCAAAGAACACGGAACCAATTAATCGTGTTTTTCGGGAGTTAGCTGTGTATGCATATATATATATATATAGATATATATAGATATATATAGATGTTTATAATAAAAATATATAAAATGTGTAAAAAATATATATTTATACGTATAATTAAACTTTTGGACATACGAAAGAATCTTTTACCTTGTGCTAAACATCCAAACTCTCATAACGATAAAACTTTATACTTCGAGAAATATTGAGATTCTAAAAAAATGACTTATATAATTTTAATATTAGATAATATTGAATATCATGCTGATATTATTATAAACTGCAAAAGTTTACTTATATTCTTTATAATCTTAATACATTGAATGTTATTTAATTAGAATTAAGTAGAAACTAAAGACAAAAGAGCTTTTTTGTAGTCACCAGATGTATCATCCTGAAAGATATTAAATTTTGTAAACATAATGAAGTATAAATATTGAATGAATTTGAAGAAACAAAAGTGATACATACAGCGATCCAACTTTCCAAACTTTTACCATAACGTTCTTCGAAAGCTTTTTTAATATCACCTAAATCTATTTCACTTCTTGATACAATAATGCGAATCAAAGTTTTATCTTTTGTTCCAATTCCATGCATGCTGTCATATAAACGTTCAGCAAAGAAACCTACCTTCGATTTAACACATTTCACTATAAAAAGAAAAATGGTTAAGAAAAAGAATAAAATAAAAAATGATGTATCTATAAATAAATTATTTGATTAAATACTAACCTATTCCTAACAGGCCTTTTTCGATGCTTCCAGAAAATTCCTTTTTGATGGCAACTTCTATGTCATGTCCAGCAATTTTTTCATATTCTAAGAAGGTTTGTCTTAATTGTTGATAACTTCGTGTAATTAATATAGCATTAAATTGAGATTCGTCGGTACCCCATTGCTTTTCACCTATAATAAAAGAAAAATTTATATTTTCTGGATCAAATGGTATGAATGAAATAATTTAAATTAGATTTTTTTTATACCAGCTTCATAAAGTGCTTGAGCATCAGCAACCGCTTGATCGTGATCTATTCCTTGATTTTCATCCCTGTTAGCCTGAACAAGAGATACTAACAATCTTTTGAAATGACCTGAAGTATCTCCCTTTAAGTCGTTTTCCAAAGTTTTACTGTATACTGTAAATAAATATTAAAATATCAAATGTTCTTTATATATAAAATATGTTAAAAAAGAAAAATGTATTTATAAATAATCACTTACAATTCTCATAAAATGCAGCGACAGTGCGAATACCATAATTACTAAGCGTGCAAAGAACTTCTACAATAGCTTCTTCGTCTGTTCCTAATCCACTTACTGCATTATGCAATTCTTTAGCATAATAATGCGGCAAAGGCGTCATAAGGGCAACTATAACATCTTCTAATTTCCCTGTAAGCTCACTTTTAAGGTCACTTATTAGATCTTTTCCATATAAAGTTTTATAAGCTTCAGCAATTTCTAAACGTTGGACTATTCCTCTTCTGGTTAATACATCAATGATAGCTCTCTCATCCGTTCCAAAACCTTTCATCGCTTTTCTAAGCACAGCCGCATCCGCATTAGCATCAAACGGATCCGCAGGATATACAGTTGGTGTACACTATAAAAAAGCATTCTATAAATTTTTAACAAAAACTAACCAAGAAAAGGAAAGTGGTACTTGGGAAGTAAAAAATAGGTCAATCTAAAAAATTCATGACAAAGAAGGAAAAAAAGATTTAATCATCTCAAAGTTATTACTTACTTTGAATGGATAATATTGTTGAGACATATTGTTCGACCGTTATAAATAATACTGGAAAAAAATTAATTATATTTATAAATAAATTTATAATAAATTACAATTTTTTACATATTAGTAATATACATTACTAGTATGTATATTACAACTTAATGTATTTACATACAACATAAATTTATCTTTCACATAATATAGCTCATATCATTATTTACAAAATTATTCAAAAGTAAATTAATTGAATAGAATAATTTAGAAGATAACATTATTTTCAAATATGATACATATTTACGAGTGTAAGTGCCCTGCCCACTATTTAATCATTCTTGATATTTATCATGTTTTCTACAAAACTAGTTGAAATATATTGATCTATTTGATCTAATTACATTGCAATTTATTTTAAAATTAATTTACATAATTAAAAAAAATATAATTAATTTTACTTTACCAGTAGTTTCGTTATTTCGTTTAAGTTTCTCCTATGCGGTACAATCGCGTAATAACAGACTGAATGTTGGAACACGTCAATACATTTTCTCCGTCGATGAGTAATAAAGAGAGAGAGAGAGAGAGAAGAGAAGAATAGAAGAAAAAAAAAGAGAAAGAAAGAGAAGAGAAAGAAAGAGAGATTAAAGATTATTTAAAGAATACACAACTATCTGAGATGAGTATAGACTAATTTCATTAGAAAAGATCTTCAGTATATTTAGATGTATTATAAAGATTTCTCTCTATTATTTAAAAAAAGAATTCAATTCATAAAGGTTCATCCATAATTTATATTTTAATCTTATTCTTCTTTTATCTATATTCATTAATTAAAAATATTTTTATGGTATGGGTGTGGCATCAGATTACGTGTGTGCTATAATAGTGTATGACGATACAGCACTGTGCTACGTCACAATGGGTGCGTTCCACTAAGCGCTCACAACGATCACGCTCACGACCACAGTTTCTCCCGTTCCACTTACCTACGAGCGTTACTGTCGTAAATTCAAGTGGAATGGACTATGGTGCGTTTTGAGCGTGGAGGTAATAATACAAATGGCGAGGTAGTGAAAAGAAAGTAAAAGATTAAAGAGGTTAAGAT